TACTTTTAAAAATACTTAAATAATTAGCATTATAATAATAATCAAATAATTAGCTAGGTAAAATACAATTAAATAATTAATATTGTAATTAACAATATATGTGAAATAATAATTAATTAGAAGTAATTATTACTTAAATAATTAATTATATAATTAATAGTATGCTTAGTAATTAAAACTTATTTAAGTAAGACTTAAATAATTATTTAAATCAATTAATCATTAAACTAGCTTCTAATTCTTTAATTTTAATTACAATTTTATTGATATTTATTAAAATTATATTTAATAAGTAATAATTATTTTAAATACATAATTTTAAAATTTTAAATAAAATTTAAATTTTTAATAAAATATCATTAAATCCTGAATTAATGTTAACAAACAATTCTACAAGATTTATTTGTTCTCTTGCAAAACAGTTTCAATATTTAACAAACTTTGATTTACTAACGTCAATTTATAGTATTTATTAAATCGTACTTGTTACCAAACAGCCCTATACAAAATGTTAAGGGGGTCTCTTTGATTTCGAATTTGAAGTAGGTGCCAAATAGGGAAAATGACATCTTAAATCTTAGTTTGAATTAAATTCTTGGTTTCTCTTTCTGCCAAATCCTATATTTACTAAATCCGTTGCGGATTCAAGTTGATTTATGTGATTTGACAGAAGAAGCACGTGGAAGAAGAGAAATAGATTATTTTGTAGGGAACGAGCTCCATTGTATCGAATGAGGCAAATAATGTTGTCAAAGGGGCCAAAACGATCCTCAAAGGAGGGCAGAGATCGACTGGTTCGAAAACTCTACCTTACATGACAACAGCATTATGAAGTGAAGTAAATGTAGTAAAAAGAAAAATTTATATCATAAATTAATTAAATACTAGGGATGCTTTGGTTTGAAATAAAATTGATAAAGTATTCAAAATATAGGGTTTCAAAATATTATTGTTTGGTTCAAAGTAAATCAAATTTAGTGTAAAGTTTTTGATGTATTTTGAAATTCAACACTATTTATATTTGATATTAAAATTTCTCTGTATTTTGATCGATTTTATTGCTGAACATCATAGCTTTGTTGCAGCACCATCGCGCTTGATGGCACCGCCACTAGGCAGCCATGTTAGCACGCCGCTAGCGCCATGCGGCCGCCACAAATTGATCACATTATCATTGTACTTTACACCTATTTCATTTTACTTTCAAACCAAAATAAAATAATAATAATTCCTGCAATTATTTTGCACTCATCCAAACAACTCAAAAAAAATTTCAAATACACTACATTACTTTTTTTCTGCCAACCAAACAACTCTAAAATCATAATTGAATAGTTAATTAAATAATAATCAATTTAATTAGTTAGTAATAGGAATACTTAAATAATTAATTATATAATATAATATACTTGTAGTTAAATCATATATTTTTTTTGAAATTAGCCTCTAAATCCCATTTTCTACTCATTTATCTTAAATGTAGGGATTCTTATGTTTAACTTAAATCCACAACCAAGAAATCTTCTCCTCCTTCACAACCAATGGTCACGATCAATTCCTTTTCAATCGCCTCCGGTTGGACTTTTTCATCCTCTGCATCGAACGATTTTTGATGATTGGGCAGAACTAGGAGAAGGGCGAGGCTCTAGCTTCTCTATAGATATTAGGTTTTTACATTTTATCAAATTTTTAATATTTTTAATTATTAAAATTAATGTTTATTAATTGAACAAGAAAGATTCATTTAGAGAATAAAGTTGTAATTTATGTCAACCATAGCGTCTGAACAAAACTTTCAGAGAAGTGGATTATTTAATTAATTAAAAGTTATGCTAAAGTGGGTTGCATTAATGCACTCATTTTTGAGCTCTAAAATAAAAAAAAGATTAAAAAATAATAGAAATATATATTTACAAGAATTGTGGGGAAAAATTAGATAGGTGATTTTTAGTTAATTAAGAAAAAAGTTTAATTATAAAAGTATAATTAGTCTTCATTGTGTGTTGATTATTACCTCTCTCCTGAGAATGTGACCAAAAAAAGGTTTAAATTTATGAAATTTCAAAAGAATTATGAAAATTTTTAATAACTAAGTGTTATTTGGATTATTTTTACCATTTTTTTATTTTATTTTATTTATGTTTCATATGAATAAAACATACTGATGATCAAAAATATGTTATTTATCTTATTTATGTGTTTGGTTGGCGTCAAATGGCTTAGTAAGAACAATATTAGCCGTTGAAATTGCATTTCTGGAAGTAATCAAAAGTGTAATAAAGAGAGCTGCCAAAACATACAACTATGTTGAGGTATCCTATCAACTATCCTCCTCAAAATAGCATAAATTTAAACAAAACTGTTTTAAATAAAACTAACGCTGCATCAAAATTAGAGGCTGTATTTACTCAGGCTAGAAACATAACGGAAAAAAAATGCTTAAGTTATTAAAAAGAAGAAAGTCCAGCTATAACCAATCCTCGAGTAGTACAATTATAGTGATAATGAACTATTGAGGTTGACTATGACAACCAGTGATGAATGGTTGGTGATAGATATAAACTGTGATCGTAAATTGGTCAATAATGGACATGACAAAAGATTTTGCAATGAATGAGCGTTAAATTATTTTGATGTCAGCTCACCTTGATTGTGATTAGGATTTGTGAATTAAATCCTCCGTTTCCTACTTTTTGCTGTAAATCCCGTCGTCGTGGATTTAGTACGGTTCGGCGGATTACGGGATTTGGCCGAAGAAGCGCGCGAAAGGGTAGAAAGATGGTTACCGTCACAGCGAGCGAGCTCCCGTTGTCGTGGAAGGAGGCGGAGGAAGAACGTTGTCTATCTGTCGTCGTGACTTCCTATCACACAGAAAAAGGGAACGTTGGCAAAGGAGGCTCGAAGCTCTACCTCACGGTACATGCGAAAGTCCAAACGAAAAAGAAGAGGAAAAGCAAACCTTAGATAGGCCTAACGAGAAAAATAATTATTAATTATAAGAATAATTAAATAGTAAGTAATGAAATACTAAATAATAATTGAATAGTTAATTAAATAATTATCAATTTAATTAGTTAGTAATAGGATACTTAAATAATTAATTATATAACTAATAATATACGTAGTTAAATCATATATATATTTTTTGTGAAATAGCCTCTAAATCCCATTTATCCCCCATTTTATCTTAAATGTAGGGATTCGTATGATTTAACTTAAATCCACAATCCAAGAAATCTTCTTCTTCTTCATATGCCAATGGTCACATCAATTCCTTTTCCAATTTGTCTTCGGTCGGGACTTTCTCGCTCTGCCATCGACGATTTTGATGAATTGGGCAAAATTAGGAGAAGGGCGAGGGCTCAAGATATTGGGTTTGTTACATTATCAAATTTTAATATTTTTAATTATTAAAATTAATGTTTATTAATTGAACAAGAAAGATGCATTTAGAGAATAAAGTTCTAATTTATCTCAACCATAGCATCTGAACAAAACTTTCAGAGAAGTGGATTTTTTATTTAAGAGTGGGTTGCATTAATGCATTGTTTTGAGCTCTTAAGAAAAAAAGAAAAATAATAGAAATATATATTTACAAGAATTGTGGGGAAATATTAGATAGGTGTTTCTCAGTTAATAAGAAAAGTTTAATTATATAAGTAGAATTAGTCTTCATTTATTTCATATTATTATTTTGAGAATGTTGACAAAAAGTTTAAATTTATGAAATTTCAAAAAGAATATGAAATTTTTAATAACTAAGTGTTATTTGGGATTATTTTTACCATTTTTTTTATTTTATTTTATTTATGTTTCATATGAAATAAAACATACTTGATATTTCAAAAATATGTTATTTATTTATTTATTTATGTGTTGGTGGCGTCAATGGATAGTAAGACAATGATAGCGTTGAAATTGCATTTTGGAGTAATCAAAAGTAATAAAGAGAGTGCAAAACATACAACTATGTATGAGGTATCCTATCACTATCCTCCCTCAAAATAGCATAAATTTAAACAAAACTGTTCTATCGTTAACATCATCTCAAACAAAACTGTTTAAATAAACTAACGCTGCATCAAAATTAGAGGCTGTATTACTCAGCCTAGAAACATAACGGGAAAAAATGCTTAAAGTTATTAAAAAGAAGAAAGGTCTAGCTCTAACCAATCCTCGAGTAGTACAATTATAGTGATAATGAACTATGAGGTGACTATGACAACCAGTGATGATGGTTGGTGATAGATATAACTGTTGATCGTAAAATTGGTCAATAAGGACATGACAAAGATGTGCAAGGATGAGCGTTAATTATGTTGTGATGTAGCTCACCTTGATTTGTGGTTAGGGACTTTGATTACTAATTAAGATGTATTAAGTTTGAAGTTTTTTGAATTTGACTTAATTGATTAAAAAGTAAAGGAAAATGATATAGTATTTAAACTATTTAAATAACTTATTTACTTAAATTGAATATATAATAGTAAACAATAAATAAATAAATTATGAGCAATTAAGTAGAGTTTAATTTTTTTTTATTTTAATATATTAAACTGTATTATACGTGGCAAATAACAGCTATTTACTTTATCCAAACTAGAAATTGGTTGCCCGCTGTCCTGTTTATTAATTATCCGTACGCATACGTGGAGTCCCGTTCCGGCTAAGCATCCAGAAGTCCGAGGAACAAATTCTGATTTCTCTCTCTGAAGACCGATTTAGGAAGAGGAGGGAGAGGCGAGGAGAGCAAGAGCGAGGGAGAGAGATTAGGGCGATCTGAGAACCCTGTGGGTTTCAAGAGCCCTAGCCTTCTCTACTCTCTTCGCATCCTCGTGTTGCTTCTCCTTCTCTCGGCGTCATTTCTTCCGTCGGCATCGAACTAGTGTGAGAGGAGGAATTGCAAGCTTTCCAAGCACGGGTGCTGCGATTCGCTTGATCTTCACTTTTGGCCAGTTAAGGTAAATAAGGAAGCCTCCGTTCCCAGCTTTTCACTTTTTTGTATGGATGCAGCAGAGCCTCGATTTCCTTTTTCTTGCTATAACAATCGGGTAGCTGTGGATTATTGTGAATTAAATTCTTTATTCGTAAACTTAGATGGAGACAGGGAATATATCATTTATTTCCGCACGATCGTCCCTATGGACGAGTGGTATAGATTTTATTTTTTAAATTTATATTCTGGCAATAGGTTGATTTTTCAGGATTTCTCACTTTATGATAAAGTGAAAGACTGCAAGGCTTCTCTATATGTGAAGTTAAAACTTTTTTCTGCTCTTTATGGGGAGATCTGATGAAGTTGTTCAATTGTAATTAATTAGCTCTGTTAGGTGTAATTTGTTGAACTTGAAAAAGCGTCCATTTAAATTAGTGAATGAAGGTTAAGGTCCTTGGTAGCTTGACGCAGAATGAAAAATTAACTAATCTATCCTACCAAATATACATGAGGATGTTCTTCACAGTTTATTTAAAGGAAGTTTCAAGTAAATTAAAAAGTACTTTTCTGATGACTAAAAACAGTTGGGAAATTCTGATGAGAGAGAGAGAGAGAGAGAGGCAAATTTTATGATTTGATCTGCACATATCACAACGGATTTCAGTAAACATGCAAAATTTCAGAGAGTGATAATTATTAAACAAACAAATTAGATTCCAAACATTCGTACAATATAATTATTACCTAGGCATAGAAAACAAATGCTATTTGATCAGAAAAGAAAAAGAAGCAATGAAAAGGAGAAAAGTAGGGAAGAAAAAAAGTAAGTACTGATTAAGGGAAAATCAATTTAATGTATAGTTCATTTTGATGTTGATTCTCCAATAACCTACAGGGCACAATTTATTTCTTTCATTCAACTTGCTTTCAAAATATAAAATGAGCTCCTATTTATAGGTTTAGATAGGGAAACCAACTATCACAGAAATTAAATGAAAAGGATAGTGAAATGAGTGTCTGGCCTCATTAAGGTGGAGATGTTAGTGTGTTGCTTTAAATGGAGAGGGAGGGGGTCTAGGAGTTGCTTTAAATGGCAGGGGAAGTTTAGAAGATTTATTAATCGGCAGTGGAAAGGTCAAAATTAATGAAAATTTCAAGGCTAAAGAATGGCAGGTTGGCCGATTAAGCATTTGGTTTACAAAGGCCCATAATTCAACCCATAACCCAATAAAACATGTGGGCCAACATGACTCATCATGACTCTCAAATACACAGTGAGGGCCATAGTTACAATCAATATAGACATATGACTCAAAGGCAATATAACGACAATGATGATGGCTAGAAACTTGATGGCCTATATCAACATATTTGACTTACAAGGATTAGACTTTGGCGAATGAAAGTCTTGGCATTCTTAAAGCATCTCTGGGCATAGATATTGGATCTCCTTCAAAGTCATTCATGAATCATTAAGAGGTGAGACTCCTCTCCATCGAATCATGCATTACTAAACTTCGCCATCAACTATGGAGATGATCTAGCCGTCCAATATATGTTCTGGCACATTTGATCTCAAATATGAGTCCATAATGGCGATGGTGTGTATGCTTCATTTGACTCGGTGCTCATGCTTATTCCACAAATCATGGTTGAAAGTAGGTGGTGACAATACCTCATAGGAAAAGAAGTACGGTGTTAGACGCATGCTATTAGTAAAGGGTTAAATTTCCAAATTGAACACCGGATATATGTTGTTATCCTTGGGTAGGTCCAACTCATATGTGCTTGCATTTTCCATCCAGATAATTTTGTAAGGTATTGAGTTTCTTGTCGATAACTTTTGAGGAATCCTGATAGAAATCTCTCAGGATAAAGTTGAACAAAATCGTGTCTCCCTAAAAAAATATAATGAAATATCTATGTGAGTCGGCCATATACTTATACTTATTATAATGCATTGCAAGTTTTCTTTTAATTTTAGTGTAATGTTCATGCAAATGCTATGCAAATGAGGAAGAAACTCACTATTCATTTATGATATGGAAAGGTCAACAATGTCAATGGTCATACAGGGTTTATATATGTTGACCATATGCAATAAACTCGTACTGGTTGATCTATTGATGGAGCTTTTTTATAGGCAATTTTAGTAGTCGTTAGGATTATTTCCAACTAGAAGTATCATTACTAATCAAACTTCTAAGAAAATCACTTAAGCTTTTATTTATCATTTCAATTTGACTGTAGGTTTGGAGGTGACATGTGATTGGGAACAAAATATTATTTCTCCTTTATTTTTTCAGGGAATTTTCCTGAAGTAGCTCATGAATCTAACATTTCTATTGGCAACAATGGTATTAGAAAGACCACACAACCTTACGATCTCTATAAATAAAGAGATGCTATAGGAGATGCATGCGATATCTTATAGTGGGGAATAAAATGTGCCATTTTTAAGAAATGGTTCATTACCACAAAGATGGTGTCATCGTCGACATAGTTTAGGGTAGACCAAGGATAATGGCCCAGTACTCAAATCATCCAAGGATATGTGTGGAATGAAAAGTGGAGTATGTAAATAGGTGTTGTGCTTTATGCCCTCGAGTGGCCTCAACGAACTTGTAAGCATAAAATATAACAACAACACGAGCCACCTCTCGCTTGATACTCGGACAAAAGGACATCCTCTACCATAGCTATGGTTTTGTCTTGCGAATTTATTATTATGCTCCAGAATATGACTCCTCTATAAGAAAAATTTGAAGTAAAGAATAAAAGATACTAAGACTGATACCTTAAATGAGATAACCATCTCAAACTTGGAGGTCTGAATCATGTGTTGGTTCATTCTCAAGTAAAGAAATATAGATTTGTTTAGTCATAATAAAAATGACAATCTAAAATTAACTTAGTCAAATACAATCACCTTCACACTCATAATGTGTAAAAGTATTAACATTTGGCTAAAGACATAGGTATCCTTGTTCTCAATACTTGATTTTTATTTAAAAATAAAGGTGTATCATGGAGGAATTGAACCCACTTGCATGTTGAAAACTTAACTTCTTTTGAGCGTTCATATATGAGATCCTTATGATATAAGGAGAGCACAAAGTCTTGAGTAGGAAATAGTAACACCTATAGCACAAAGCTTGCACGACATTATAGAACTCTCGGTGATAAATAGAATATTGTTTACAGGCTTCATTTAATTTATCATTAAACTATGCCATAAGGTGTCTTTCCTGTTTAAGGACTCCATTTCTAACCCTAGAGGCATCATAGGATACCGTAAAGGTTTTTTTTTTTTTTGAATCCAAGCATCTTCAACATGAGAGGATTGGTCAAGTGCTCTTGGATCTGCTCAAAAGAATGATATATCACAGGGTCGAGTTGAATTCACCCATTTCGAGACATTGGGTGATAGGAGATATGAGGTGTTAAATCCACAAATTAATTTCCTATAAAAGGGGGTCCTTAGAAGTTGCAAACATTGTAGATTAATGTTGGAACACTCCAATCTTTGATAGCTTTAATTTTGTTAGGGTTGCTGGAGATGTCTTTGTTTAAACAACGAAGACTTTGAAGATCACAAAAGAAGTCATGGAAGAGCATTTCTTCATTTGGATGCTCAATTTTCCTCCACAAAGTATCTTGAAAATTTGTCTCAAGTGCTTTGTGCTATCAAAATGAATGAAGTCTAGAAGATGCCTTAAATGGTGGAGGAAAACTCAAAATGAATGTAATTAATCAGTAGAGACTAGAGGAAAGGGAAGGTGGATGGCCCAGCTTATGGAGGTGGCAAAGACCCCAATATCTCAACCCATAACCCAACATGACACATCATGACTTATGACCCAATTTTGACATAAAAATTCTTAAATATACTCCTCACCGTACATGCTAATAATTGTTAAACAATTAAGGGGATCTTATGTACAGTCATTCTATACTCAAGGCTCAATGACATGATGATGAAGGCTATAAACATTGATGCTCTGCGTCATAGCTCCTTAGTTATTGATGACAATTAGTTGTTATAAACTATTCAGTTTAATTGCTGACTATTTTTTATTCCACTCATGACTTACATGTCATATGATAGATCTTTTTCGGAAAAAACCTTGGGTTTTTGAAAGGTTCTCATCTTTCGTTGACTCTCTCAATGATCTTAAATGCTAGAGAACATGACCATCTTTCCACCATGCAGGATTGGTATCAAATATTTTCTTTTCATGCAGAGAAGGAAATTGTCCACTAGGACCATTTGAATACTTCTATATATAGAAGGTCCTTCAACATTGTGTAAATTATTAAGCTATAGAGTAATAGCTTTTGCAAGTTGCAGTCTAACTTACTTCTATGCCTAAGGATTCTAACAATGCATTTATGATTTTTTGTTTTTTTTGGTAAAAAATAGACAAATGATGATGATTGTTTCTTTCAATATGTGCAGTGAAAAGAAATAGAAAATGGTTCTGTGGGTTTTTGGGTATGGTTCACTGGTCTGGAATCCAGGTTTTCATTTTGATGAGAAGGTTATAGGCTTCATAAAGGATTATAGGCGTGTTTTTGATCTTGGTAATATAGTTCTTGTCTGAAGTTTGCTTGTGTTACCATTTTAGCTTTTTAGTTTTAGATGAGTGATCTTATTTTTTTCTTAGCAGCATGTATAGACCACAGAGGCACACCAGAAAATCCAGCGAGAACCTGCACTTTAGAGGCCAAGAAAGGATCAGTTTGTGTAAGAAATATCAATCTTTTTCTTGTTAAGGATTTATAAATGTTTGCTAATTAATATGTGTATGCATTGCTGAATTCAAAGGTGTAATTTTTTTTCCTCACACCAAGTTCATGTTCCTGAGAGCAGGTGCTCTTGATATTTTCATTTTTCCAAATTTTTTGTTCTTTCTACTACCACCGTAGCATTTTATGATTTATGAGTTGAATACACCTCACTCCTATTATGCCAGAGTTTCAAGTTCCAAATTCTTGATATTTTTTGATATGCTAGACTTGCAAGTCCCAATGATGTTCGCTTTTGGGTTTCATTGATATATGGAGTTATAAGTCCCGATTATGTGATGTTTTTTGTTTTCTTGTAAGATTTGGGTTTTATCTTTTAGAGGAACCCTAGAAATCTCACACCCTACTTAAAAGTATTTGTAGATACCAGTGATGTTTTATGGATGAGGTTTGCGTATGAACTTGAAAAATTGAGTTGATTGTGAAAGTTGTGAAAATGTTAAATGTATTTATGATAGAACTTGGAAAAATGGCGTGGGGAACGATTACATCCAAGAGATACTGGGAATAGCACTTATTGAAGATATGGTGTGAATAGCACCCATAAGATGAATTGATATATTTAATATGAAAATATTAGGAATGGAAAGAAAAAAGAGAAAATATGGTTTGAAATTGTGAAAATGATTTGTGCAACATAGAATTAGGAGCTCTTGTACTAGAATTTGTAAAGGCTATCCCAAATAATTGGAAAAGGCTTACAGTGTTGATGATCTTTCATCTTATATGGTTTTATTCTTGGTTTTTTTGGGATCTTACGTTTATCAATCCTACTTGACTAAAATCTGAACTTGAATTTTAGTTTGCTTTGCAAAAAAACATGTGAAATGATTTTTCTGGGAACAATTTTGTGATATTATGACAGTGGGGTGCTGCCTATTGTGTTAAAGGAGGCTCTGAGAAAGAAAGAGCAGCAATTCAGGTATAATTACTGATGTAAGCTCTAGGGATCTGTCATTTTATCTTATTGGGATTCAATCACATATCCTCTAATCATTTCAGTATTTGGAGAGAAGGGAATGCGAGTATGACAGAAAAGCATCCGTGGACTTCTATGAGGTTAGTTTGAGCTGTGTTACTTGCGGGTTTTTTAACTGCACTATATTTCAAAAGTTATCATTCTTATTACCGTTGCATGATCCTTATGTGCTTGCTTGTTCAGGAAGGAAACCTTGAGCCAGTTATGACCAGTGTACTAGTGTAAGAATAATAGCTTCATTTTCATTTATAGTTCTCGCTTGAGTTTTGCATTTGGAATTACAAAAACCTAATTATGCTTCTTATTGTTTATTTATTTATGTACAACTAATATGCAATTGCTCCATGCTTAGATTCATTTCTACTCCAGATAAGGTGGCCAATCGGTACTATCTAGGCCCGGCGCCCTTGGAAGAAATGGCAAGGTGAGGAATACGTCCTAAACTAGTCTCCTTCGCATGTTAATGTTTTGAGTTTACAAAAATCTGTATTTCATATCTCAGGCAAATTGCTACTGCAACTGGTCCTTGTGGGAATAATAGGGATTACCTGTTTTCAATGGAGAAAGCAATGTTTGATATAGGTAACAAGTTGATCACAACTTTCCTATTTGAGAATTAGATTACATGAGCCTTTGTTAACCAAATTATTTGATTTTCACGGCTCCATTTGGTGCTTATAGTTTGAAAGCATGTTTTTAGAGAAAAACGAATTTTGTGCTCACTATTTTTGTGTGTAGAAACAAAATCATCATCTTTTTTGAGGATTTGTGGAGCTTAAAACTAATTTGGGTTTTCAATTTCATCCAATTGATGAAATCTAGCAATTTTCATTGTTTTCTAAAATGTGTTTTCTATCTACAAACCACCAAATTCTACCCAAGAAAAATATACATGTTAAAATGTATATTTTCCAGAGTTTATCTATCTTTTTCCAGAAATGAATTTTTATGTTTAACTGTCCCTCTAGAGCTAGGGAAATGAAAAACTGAAAATTTTTCCCCTTTCAATTATTGTTATTATTATTATTTACAACTTAATTGTCTTTCTAAACCAACCAAACAACAAACCAAACAATTCAGATGAACAATTAAGCCATTCTAGTTTCTCATTTCAATATTTTTCTGCATTGATATCTGCTCTCTTTGCATAAAATTTCTTGCGTGGGAGTTTCATCATTCCATCAAGAAAAATCTAAGCTTGAACTAGGTCACTTCGGTGCGAGTATAACATCTTTTATGAGAAGAGAACAAAGTTTTGAGTCCCCAACATGAAAGCCACCATCATCTTTAGCTGAATCTCATTTGTTTAGGATGTCTTTAAGAAATAATAGAGTGTTGCGTAGTTGGTTAAGATTTAATTTGTTTAAATTTTTTGTACAAATTCTTTCCATATTATTTTTGATAGATGCTTTTCTTTTAAAGTCCGCTCATATAAATTTTATCTAACGTTTTTGTTGGTGCTTCTTCCAGATGCCCTAATCACATAATCTATTATTCAAGGTCTTATCTTGAAGCTGCCCTCTTATATAATGATTTCTCCATTAAATTCTTTTTAAATTTGCCGCACATCTATCTTTACTCTCTTTTTTTTTTCCAGATTAATATTGGCTATTAGTAACTTATTTGTCACCTAGCACCTATGATGCATCGACACTTCTCCTCAAAGAGGCGTGTAGTGTCCGACACGACACTCGTCTGACACACCTTTGACATGTATCGGAAACACTAAAATTGTGTCTAAATTAAAAATATATTAAATATAAATTGGACACGGTGTACGACATGTGTCTTAAATATGTAATAACTTTTTTAAATATAATTTCTTGTATTTAAAATTTTTATATATTTAAAACATAAAAACTATATTTATTATTTTCTCTCCACAACATCAAATTAATCACCCGCACTTAATATCTCATTCATCAAATATTCTCATTTTCATTTCTCTTTGGTGGGTCGCGACTTTGGTTTCACAATAATGTCTGATATCACCTCAACATCAGCTTTTGATGTCGTTACAACATCGACATTTTAAAATAATCTCAACATCAAAGTCTGACACTGTCTTGACATTGGATCTCGATGCTAGCAATTTCCATAACCACAACTTGACAGCTCATTTTTGTCCAACGTCATATTAGCATCGATAGCCATCACGCTCTCATCATCGACGACCATCGCCCTCTCAAGATCGACGATAGATGCTCTTTCAACATATATCAACGCTCGATACTTAATGCATAACATCAATGGACGACTCTCAACAACATTGTCGTGACCTTTTCTTGATGTTTGATACACAACATTGACAATCGACTCTCGACATCATAATATTAATCATTTTTAAGCACAAATTTTATTTAAATGATTTATTATTTCTTAATTGTTTTTAATATTAAACTTAATCAATTTTTATACACTATTTTTAAAATATAAAAATTATAATACCGTGTTCAACCCGTGCCTATGTCCCATACTTTCATGAATTGACGTGCCCCGTGTCATATCATATCCGTGTCACCGTGTCCGTGTCTGCGCAGCATAACCTAGCACATATTCATACAACATAACTAATCTAATGGCAGTGTCATAAAATTTACCCGTACTTTTCATGATATTCTGGCACTTCCACATTTTAACAACCCAGTTCTCACTCAATCAAGTAAAATAACATTAAACATAAAAAGAGTCCTGCTGCAAAAAATCATTTCCATGAACAAAAGTAACGTTCTCCTACTCCTTGCGAATTTTTGGTGCAGGTCATGAAGATGATTATGTTATACGACTAGCAAACGAGGTCAGAAAGGTGCTCAGTCGCTTGAAGGATAGGAGGACAGTAACTTCCCATGTTGCAATGATAGATAAGCTTCCATTAAGGGGCCTCACTCCCCTCTTGGAGGCTACCCTCGTGAATTCAGGGTAGTTTATTTTCACATTTGATTTCAGCTAATCCCAACAAAATATGTTCCTTCTGAGTTCTCTTAACGCTTTTAGCATTACTCGCTACAGTTTTCTTTTATGTAGAACTATCTTACGTTTCCCCTAATGTTTTCTTATCATAAACTATGTGTGGATCTGACTTTAATACATTTTGAAGCAGTTAATAGAAGGTTGAGTACATCTCGCCAAAATTAAACTTGTTTAGTTTTTATCTGGATTTTACTAATGATGTGTTACGAATATTGTATTGAAGAACAAAAATATTCACTGAGCGAATGAGGTGGAAGGGTGAGAGAAATGAAGTGCACTTGAAAGCTTTCTCTCACTATAGCCCTTTTCTCTTCTCTCGTGCGTGTAAGTGAAATTATTTTGTGCGGATGCCGAAAGCCGTTTGGAGACCAACCAGAATGCATCATGTCGCCCCCTGTTCGGTCGTGAAATTATTTTAACCCAAACATAATGCTACAAATGATTTGATTGTGAGCTGGTTTAGGTTTCGTTTGATACGATTTTTTTACTGCTTAAAGTAATTTTTTGATAAAAGATATAAAAGTTTTATATTAAAAAGCCGTTTTAAGTAGTTAGAAAGCCGTCCCAAACGAAGCCTTGATGTTGATTTGAAATATTCTCAACAAAATTCTTTTGATTCAATCTTAGGTTTCGTTTGGAACAACTTTCTTATTACTTCATATCACAGTTTTATAGTATAAAATTTTTAGTTTTTAAAAAAATTATACTAAAAATCTGCTTTAGAAAGCAGTAAGAAAGCTATCCCAATCGAAGTCTTAGTTGAGTTGGGATTGTCTATGGAGTGATTGAGTTAATCTTGATTTGAGCAAAGTCTTGGCTCACTTTTTTTGTTATTTGAGCTCGATCTAATTAAAATTCAATTGAATTTTAACATATTATTGATCTTCAAAGATGGATTTTCAGTTTAAATGAGCAGTCATGTATGTGAATGTTTGAGGTGAGCTTGGCTTTTTCAGTAAAGATTTCCTCCTATATATATATTAGGAGAATGAATTTATTGTTTCATGGTATATATTGAATAAAATATATCACTCTTAAAATATAAAGAAGCTTTCTTTTTAATATAATTAGCTTCAAATTATTATATAAATGAGAGAGAGATTAAAAAAAATATATGTCAATCACTTCTTAATTTGTGATTTTAATGGTGATTTTTTTGAAGGAGGATACTATTATGAATGAAATGATAATTAATTTTAATATTTTTAATTTTTTTCATGAAAAATATGATTATGATAATATTGATAGTTACATGATTTTCATAATACAATATTATAGGTTGGATACTTATAAATTACCATATATAAAACATTCAAAAAGTGAGGCTTTGAAGGATGTGAAGAAGCACTTGAATATAAAACTCAAGACAAACAAACAAAGGTTATAGAGAATCTAAGGAACACTATAAGAGAGGAATGGCTAATTTAAATGAAGAAGCATCATAAGAAGTAGCAAGGGTTGGATCCATTGTGAAAGTTTGCAAAGCAGGGGAGAGATTGTTGAGTTTCTTCAAATAATATTTGAGAGGATGATTAGTTCTATTACAAACTATGATATATCTTCAAAAAATTATCTTGATTGGGCACAAAATCTTGAGGCAAATTGCATTGAAAAGTTTCAAAATTAAATTTGGGATCATCTGAACTCTGATTTCAGCAAACTTCTAGTCAAACTAAACGTCTCAAAAAGACGAACCCAACGACACCAAATTCAATCCAATCGGAGCCCCAATGGGTTCAAATCAAGGACCGGACTCATATTTGGAAGGTTCTAGCCATAAATTGGACAATCAAATAAATTTCAAATATGACATGGTTATAGTATCGAGCTGCTCGATGACATAAATCTAACAAGCCCAAGATTATCGAATTCTTACATCATTAATGAACATAAATACTCGATAAATAATTCATAATCAAGGGAATCAATATCGATCGTCCAGTTGAACCACTCCCAACATGCTCTTAATTTTCTCCTTATTTACTTGTCATGTCAATTCCGAAAAATTATAAATAAACTATCATTCTTTACAATAAAGGGGGAAGGAATGAAGGGAAAGAACGGAGTAGAGAAAGAGAAATATGAGATATTTCTTACCCCCAAGCTCCTTCTCGACTTTGACCCTATTGCTGGCCGCGAATGTTCCGGTACACAACAAGTATGATTCTCACGTCTATGGTTCTTCCAACCACCCCAAGAAGCAACAACAAAGGTCAAATGGCCAAGAGTGGGAGTTTTATGAATGGAGAGCTTTGTGACAAAAAAATTATGATATAATAGTTGCAATGTAATGTTTCATGAAATTTGTCATCAATCAAGATTACATATCACACAAAGAAGGATGCTAATTAGAGATAAATTTAGTAATAAAGATATGTTTATTCAACTTTTGCCAAATAGTTAAGTCATCAGTGAATGAGTGGCATCAAAGTAACTCATCCTACTTTTTTTTAGTGTACTATAGCACTCTTAAATTTGCATATCATTTTGTTAAAGGAAAAAAAAAAAGAAAAAAAAAAAAAAAAAAAAAAAAAAAGAATAGAGAGTGCATATATGAGAGATACCACTTTGTTTAAAGTATATAAAGCAAAGAAAAAATCTATATGGTAAAGATCCTCAATCTTTAAAACATTGGCAATATCCAAGTAGCCATAGTAGATAGTAAAGCTAATGACTTCTTCAATGCTACAAATACAAGAGATAACCTTTAAGATTTTAGTTACGTTGTTCACCGAAAAAATGAGTTATGATGGTCGGCTTATGCTTCATTTGGGATGGCTTTCTTAATATTTTTTAAAGCAACTTTTTAGTACAAAAAAAATTAATTTTTGTACAAAAAAGCTGCTGCTTCAGGAAGCAGTAAGAAAGCCGTCCCAAACGAAGTCTTAATCTAATGCGACTCAAAGTTAAGAGTCTCGAGAGCTATGATATTTGGATCAAAATCTTAAAGCTCAAAAATATAAAGAGTTTCCAATTTTTCTAATTGCTACCCTCAACATGACATTAAAATCTCCCACTTTCTTGAGATGTTTCCTTATAATATCTAATTTATAAACATATATTAAGAAAATAAAAATCATGCCTCTTTCTTTTTTCCTTAAGTTACTCATCAAGGTTGACACTAAAATATAATTTACAGCCTAAGCTTTGGCTTATTTAGCCGCCAGGTCGAAGGGAAGTCATCATCCCATCGAAATTTGATCATGAGAGAATTCAATCTTTATTGTCTACTACGGATTAAAAAACTAATATTCTAAGGAACAAAATAACCCTCCAAAATATTATTAAATATGCATATTTTCAATCCATTTTAATAGTATTTTCTCCATGATGAAATTTCCTCACCATTGATGATCCTCATTATGCGCTTAGTTGACAACCATTTTGCAAAATTGTAATAATAGCATTGAAAGTGTCTCTAGAGGATGCATGCATACAACTATTATGGTATGCATTGTTCATCTTGTTGACAAACCTCCTCTTATCATAATAGTAGAGGATGGGTGTATGATTCATGATCATTATAATCAAATAAAGAAAAAGATATTCATGAGTGTTGCAAGCAATGCACCACAATTTGTGTCATTGCTAACCAAAGATATCATCATTCATGATGTTTGTGGACATTATCAATCCTACTTCTATGTTGAAGGATATGTCATTTTTTCATTTATATATCCTAAATGATAACTTCGATTAAAGTACCTCCAACTATTTGGAGATAGCCCACTTTTATATCTAATAGATTATTGTCGTTTAGTGATTTCTCATCTTCTTTTGGAGACTTTCAATATAAATAAAAATTATTCTCTTCATTACATTTATGTTCGAAATTTCTAGATTAATACATTATGAAATTCTTATACTATTATTATTTGTATAAAGATCTGTTTGGGACGGTTTTTAGGCAACAATCATAATTTCATTTGGTTATTGTTTTCTTGTTGCTTTCTCATTATTTTTTTCAGACAACTCTGCGATGGAAAGCTGTTTTCTGCAAACATAATAGCAAAATTGCTTTCTCAACATCAACTTTACAATCAACTTAATAAAATGCTGCAAGTTTCCCGAACAGACCCTAAATCTATTGTGCCACATAATTACTATCTTATAAATAGATGATGTTTAGCTTAATTTAAACATATATCAACTTAATAGTTATGATTGTAATTTTTCTCTTACTCATTTATTGACAAAGAATTAGATAAAAATCAACCTTAATGAACTTTCAAGACTGATATGGCTCTTAGGATTTGCTTGGGGTATTTGTAGTTTTTTATAAATGTGAAATGTGATTTGGAAGCTATTGTGAGATTTTTTTTTTTAAAACAATGTTTTATGTATTATAAATATGTTTTTTTTTTTAAATTTTGCATAAACTTTCTTATAACTTCCATGCATTGATAGATTTAGCAGCTAAACACAACTTCCCACCATAAAATATTTGAAAAAAAATAATGATAAAATAATACCCAAACAAAATTGTGATTGTGATTTGAAAAAGAAAAACATTCATAAGATCCAACTGCACTCTTGCTTATAATCTTATTTGTGGTCCATTAAGGTTAGACAAAATTTTGGTGGCATAATTTTGGTAAAAAATTTGTCAATCTGAATAATAAAAAGTTTGAATTTATCTTAAGAGGAATTTTATATAATATTTTGTTGAATCAAAGTAAATTTAGGAGTTTTATCAATTGGGGTAGAAAAATTTGGGCAAGGAATAAGCCGAAGATAGACCACCCTTTATGGTTCCTACTCTTTGGGGCTATTTGGATGTAGGATTTAGGTCGGATTTGAGTGAAATCTAGCCGAACGGCCAAAAATGCAAAATCAAATATCACAGTAAATGAAAGCCGCGGTTGATGGAGCATTATATTTTTTCTTGGTAAATACCGAATGTTTGAAATTCTCTGATTCGGAGGATTTAATGCTTTATTGGCGCCAGAGGGAAGAAGAGTCCGCCCAATTCCAACTATTCGCATTATTTCCTGACCGTCGCCTCTTTAGAACAACTCATAAGCTATGGTTGCCCATACTCCATCATTGCGGATCCTCGCTATAATAAGGCATACCAACGCTCCCCATTCCACATAAACTATTTCTTGCAATCGCTCGATCAATCATCCTAGAAAACCAACTTGAATAAGACCGCTTTCCGGTATGATCTTTCCCTTTTGCATCTTTAGTCACATTCACCATAATATGTTGGTTTATGCACGATTTTTTTGTTGCATATACCTTGTTTTCATTTTTTATGTCTGGTACATCCACAAATTCGTTTATAATAATCTTAACGCATATGATTTTCTCTTCTTATATAAGCTTGTTATGTTTTGAATTTTGTCATATTCCCTTTACTAGAGTGGTGTGGTAGTTTCTACATTGTGCTATTAACATGAAACCTTGGGAAGAAGTGACAAGTAGTGGAACTTACCCATAATCAAACTGTAAACAATCATCTTTATTCATCGATCTTGTTAGTTTTGCACGGGGAAGGATCATCAACTGATACGAGAGTCTTACGATGGGCAGTCAAGGAAGGTGATTTTAATGTGACCATTGGTAAATATTTTTTGGTTGATTATGTATACACAAATATAGATAAACTAATAGCACCATTTAGAGGGTAACAATATCACTTAAGTGAATACCGAGGTGTTGCTTCTCATAGGTACTCAATTGCACATGAGCTATACAATCATCGTCATGCTCAACTACGAAATATGGTAGAGAGGACTTTCGGTATATGGAAAGAAAGATTCTAAGTGTTGACTCACATGTGTCAATTTCCACTAACAGCTCAGGCTTATATTGTTCAGACGTGTGCCGTCTTGCACAACTTCATCAGGCGTTATCATGAGCATTATATATGTACTTAAACATGTCACAAACTAAAATGCATCATGATAGTGAGTTGGGTGAGGTTCAAGTCAATGACAAAGACCTAAATTTGTATGCAAACGTTGGTAAAAGTACTAGGTGATTCTTTAAGACATCAATTGCAACAAGTATGTGAAAGTCATGGATAAGGCTCTCTCGTATTAACCATAAACTCTTTGATTTTTCAAAATTTAACTTCTAACAACCAACTACATTCATAGATAGCAAAGCCATCAAAGACATTCAATTGGATAGCTTGCAATTTTGGGCACATGAAGAACAAAACAATTTTAATTTATTCGAAATTCAATATATGTTATTATTGTACTTTTAGAAAAATTTGTTGTATTTTTTTTGAACTTATGATGTTATAATACTTCACTTATTAAGAAATAAATGTTAAATTTTTTAACTAACTTACATCCTGAAGTGAATTATCAAACATTCACACATGATTTCACAAAATTTATATTAAATGTTATCAAACAGTTTTAAATATTTTTTTTGGGGAAAATTTGGGCAAAGCCTGTATATTGATCAAAACTATGGAAGTTACATGTAAGAAGAAAAGAAGGCATAGAACAGAAAAACTAGCTCATTTAGAGCTCAAAAACAAAATACATCCTTATAAAATTAAAAAAAAAAATTGAGAACAGGATGATGGCAAAAAGAGGTCCGTCCTCAAACTTGATCAGCAACACTTTGAAGAGGAACCTGAAGACAGCGAAGCAAAAATTCAATTCCAGGAATCAAAATGTAGTAGCCAAGGACTCAGATAAGCTGATGCTTAAAATTTCTAGTGAACCCTGGTTTCCCCAACGGGCCGTCCAAGGGGCCTGCATTAGGGTACATCATAGTCCAAGGCTTAACCCGCAGGCAAGACCCACCAAAGCCACTATCGAATATCCAACGAGAAACAGCATAATCCCCCAGCTCAGAAATACTCCAGGAGAGAAGAGAAGTCCTTCCATCTTGTAATTTTCACATGAATCGCTCTTTTAATGATGAGAGCAGTAGTAATAGAGCTACAAGATACATTACCAAATCTTCTATTGTTTCGCTCTTTCCAAGTAAATACAGGCATTGGAAATAAGAAGGTAAAGATTTTTGAGTTGCTCGTTAGAGAAATACATACCTTCAATCCATTCCAGCAATTGCAAAGTCGACGGCCTAAGCAACAAACCATTGGCAATAGGCAGTAGGCGGGATATGACAGAGTAAGAATAGGAGCATTCAAAAAACAAATGGGAAGTAGATTTAGGAAACGCATGACATAACCCACAGAAGGAAAGAACCAAAATATTTCTCTTGAGTAAAGCATCTGCAGTTTTCAACGCTTCCAACACAGGGCAAATTATTGGGTCAGGTGACTGGAGACTAAAAATAAGTTCGGACATCCAATAAAAATTTGCCACGTCACCTTGCGCTTTAGTTGCGCTTTTTGACTTGCGCTTTAGTTGCGCTTTGGTTGCGCTTTAGTTGCGCTTTACCTGCGCTTTAGTTGCGTTTTTTGACTTGCGTTTTAGTTGCGCTTTACCTGCGCTTTACTTGCGCTTTACTTGCGCTAATTTTAAAATAATATTTTATTAATATCTGGACACCTGACCTAATAATTTGCCATCCAAGAGAAAATAGAGTATCTCAAAATAGATTTTGAGTGCCAGATAAGATGAGCCCAAGTTTTAATGATTTAAAACCCTAGGATTTAGGATATACTAATTAAATGAAATCCCGGGTGCATATTTGTGATCAGAAGGTTACGGACGCCGGTGATCGCAGAACTGAGCGATAGATAAGCGGAAGATGACCACCGCGTCCATGACAGCCACCGTCGCCGAGTCCGCCGCTGCATCTTTGCCTCTCCACAACGTATTCGTCTACGGCAGCCTTCTCGCCGACGAGGTCGTCAACGCACTATTAAAACGCATGCCGCCATGCTCCCCCGCCATCCTCAATGGCTAGTCAGTTTTATCTTTCTCTCACTCGCTTCTTATTACAGAGTTTTATTATCTTGTAGATGCCGTACGATTCGCCGATCAATATACTCGAAATCCATCTTCCAGATCCTCCGAAATTATTGAAACAATATCCCATGAATTCTCTGTTCTCTCTAGACTATGCTTCAGTGCGATAACGCTGTACATGGTTTTAGTTGTGGATATGGTATTACTCCTAATTGTTTGTTTACAACGGCAAAATTGCCATGTTGGAACAGCCGGCCGACAAGATTTATGACAATTTCTTAGCTTTTCTATTCGATTTTGATGTTTAGTATTGCTTTTGGTGTTTTGGCACTACATGTGGATAGTTTACTAAACTAGACTACCGTTTTGCAGCCACAGGTATAGCATAAAGGGGCGTGTTTATCCAGCAATATTGCCAGTAGAAAGCAAGAAAGTCATAGGAAGGGTTGGTAACGAATCCTTCTATTGATTATACTTGATATCATCAGAGGGAATTTGATGTTGTTCTGTGGTTGCTTCATTGCATTATTCTTCAACTTATTCTATTTTACTTTGAAAACATGCACTTCACTTTGAATCTTCTAAATGCTTGGGGTGCTCTATTTTAATGATTAGCATATGGTTCAAGCAATGCATTGTAGGTTTGGTAATTATGTCACAAGCTCAAAACTCGTTGGATAGAATTTTAATTTTCCGGGAAGTGAACTTGACTCAAGGATGTAGATTAGAGAACTGCTCGACGAGTGAGTGCTCAAACAAATCGGCAATGTAGATGGGGTGCTACTATGGAATGTGGTCATCTTAAAGAGTAATTTTTGTATCGTGGTATAGGTTGGTATGTGAGCTCTTGGAGGAAGGGAACATGTGGTGATGATGATTCAAAGGAAGATGATGGAGATTAAAGAGTTAATTTTTAGCGGGGTATATGTAGGTATGTGAGCTCTTTGAGTAAGGGAACATGTGGTGAAGATGATTCAAAGGAAGAGAAGGGAGATTAAAAAGTTGTTGTCTAATAAAAAATAATATTGGTTGAAGTGTATGAGTGTTGAGTTAAATGATTACCACATCTTTACAATTTTTTGAGTGAATATATGAGAAATACATATCAAATGCCAAGATAAGAGATCTTGCGTGCGATCAAAACTGATGAACAAGACAAATAACCAAATGTTTAAGATGTAGTAAAAAATGTAAGTTGGCCAGTGAAAAGTTATCAAGGAAAGGAGAGAGAACACGATTGATGAGATAGTAGGCAATGAAGACCACATTCCCTTAGGATTGACGTTGGTTGGTCGTTCATATGAAACATTAAGGTGAGGGAATATCTAGTATATGATGGTTTTTGTATTCAACAATATCATTATGTTAACATATATAGGGTCAACAAGTTTAATAAATAATATCATTATCATAATAGAAGGCGTGGAATTGAGATTGCATAAATTTTAGAGTATTGTTAGTATATAAATTATTGAAGTAGAAAATAAAAGATAGATTTTTTGATAGAAATTATTTAAAAATATGAAAAACTTCAAATTTACATTTGAGTAAGTATTATCAAAGTGACTATAGAATAATCAACATTGCTTGTGACAAAAATGCTAGAATACCAGTTTAGCAAGAATTAAACTAGGTCAAAAAATGTTCTAGTGGACTAGCTCAAAAGGAAGAATTTTGTGACTAGTGATAGATAGGAAACAACATGCTATTGTTTTTACCCAACTTGCATTTAAAATAATCATATTTCGAGAGTGATGATAAGTTAAATATAATCTTGAAGTATCTTGGGAGGAGGATGACCAACCGACAATGCTATTAATATAGAGTAGTAGTGAAAGAGAGAGTGGATAGAGCATTATCTATCAAGTAGTAGACCCTACGAGCTTTCACAGCTCCACCAAATGTCTTCATTGGTCAAAAATATTTAAAATCACAATGAGAGGGATACAAATGTTTTTTAGGAAATAACTAGTCTTTATAAAAAAATAATAGATAATATGTTGATTGGAATTTTTTTGGGATCTGAAAAATATTTGGTAGATATAGATGTTTGAAAGGATATACAATGCCTTTTTCAGGAATAGGAGAGGCGAAACTATCAATAATAACGATAGGTGGTAATATGGCATGCAGAGAGATGAAAATATTTGACAAGTACCTCTCATATGAGAAAAGATGCTTGAATCTAAAATCCAGGACGTACTAGTAGAGATGACTACAACAAATTTAGAGAGAAACATCATGAGAGGCTGAGGGAGATGTTTGAGATTGTTGAAACAATTGATCATAATTTTCCTGATAAATAATAACAAATTTGGAGGAGGAAGTAATAGATTTAGAAGCATGTTGAATGTTAGGAACCATGGAGCCTACTGTTAATTTGGATTGTGTACCCTAGAGGGAAGAATGCAAATGGAGATAAATTCGGTAATATGATTTTTTTCATTCTACTTATGGTAACTAATTACGTTAGTAGTGAAGGGTTGCTACTAAATAACTCATTCCATTTACTTCTCAAAGTGTAACATCATTCTTTGATATGCATTTTTTTTCATTTGCTAGAGAAAAATGATCTTAGAGTAAAGATTGGAAGCACGAGATATATTAATTTTATGGATGTGGAATGAAGTTAAGCTTCTTCTAGCTAAGTCTTGAAACATTGCTAGTTGAGGCAAATGAAAGGTTCAAGGCTATTAAGAAACCGTGTAAGAATGATGTAGTTGGATGCTTGTCATTTGAAAATTTTGATGCTGTCACTTCTATATGAAGTAGACACTTCAAAGTGATGGAGTTTGTCATGAGAACCAATTGGTACCATTGAAATTGATTATGGTACCGGTGGTGGAGAAAATTTTTGAGTCATTGAGAGTTGATTGAGAAACTATAAAATTGTGTATGTGAGAGAGAATTATGTAAGTTGATAATTTACTCAAATCATTGAGAAAATGAGACTTAGGAAGTGGCCTTATCCTAAGTAGCAATTAAGTATCACCAAAATAGTGCATGGCTATAGTAGAAGTCAACCAACACATGTGCATGCCTTGAAGAATGCCACAATGGTCCTGATCAGGAATAGTGCATGACTATAGTAGAAAAGTTAGTGTTTTCCTTGATATCTGGAGAAATACCTTTTGTGCTTTATTCTTTAGAGATCTCATAATTATAAGAACCCTAATTGAAGGTTATCGAAATTAAAGGTCCAATCTGAAATTTTTGTTAGGAAATATTTTACTTTATTAAATGTTTGAATTATTCTTCCAATATAATTTCAGCTGCACAAGTTTTAGCATTCCAGTACCAAACTCTATTTTAATATTGATTGAAATAAGATTTTTTGATAACTTTTTGGCATTATTTTTTTGCCAAGGATCACGAAAAAAAATCTAGGACTTAAAAATTCAGGATTAATGCTAAAATTTATGGGATATCTACTCCGTATAAGTATATGGCAGTTAGATTGGATGGAATTCAGAACTTATATTAATATTTAAGATTTCTATTCTCTACATATGGACGCAAAATGCGTTAGTCACAATGACTACTGAAATACTTTTATGAGATTCTCTCGTATCGAATATCTACACAGGCTTTATTTTGTAGTAGTTTTAGCCATGCCACCCTGCCTAAACTATTTTATGTATGCTTTATAGATTGTGTGATGTGGACATCGGTACGAAGATTTGACGCATCTATCACAGGCGGCGTCGTAAATTGACGACCATTATTTAAATTTTCAATTATGAGTTATTTTCTGCATTTTAATTCTTATTTGGTGTATTTCCTGTTTTACCCCTATGATAGTTTATGTGAGTGTTGTGGCCCAAGGGGCAATTTTGTAATTTTTGATTTTTCTCATGTTGTGGCCTATATATAGGGCCTTTAGCTATTGTAATGAGGATGAATTATTGATATGACAAATCGTTTTCCACACTTGTGTTCTTCTTGTGAGAGAGCGTTAGTGAGATTTCTATGAGAGGAATCGAAATATTCACCAGCCGCAGGATGGGTCCGGGCTCGTGAATTGAAGTCCCTTGGAGAAGGGCAACGCAATACCCACCAGTCATTGGAAGAGTCTGTGGCTCGTGGTCGTTATCTTTTCCCCTCGTCTTTCTTCCTTACCCGCCACCATCCCCAATTGCTCCCAAGCCGCCGGCCACCTTTCCCCATTGGCTCCTCCAACGCTGGCCTTCCCCTTTTTCCCCACCATTAATGAGGAATAATGGCATCATGACATCCTCTCAAAATAACCCCCTTGAGTTAGGAAAGAGAAGCCCCAAATTTTGAAATTCAAATTTTGAATTTCAAAATCTTTCCTAATTTGCCCCGCCATATTTGGAAAGTTTTGAATCTCATTCAATTTAATTTTAAATTGAATAGGATTTAATTATTTCCCCTGAGTCAATTTGAAATTCAAATTTAGAATTTCAAAACTTTCCAATTTTGGAAGTTCCTAATTAGGAAAGTACTTAAATCCGCTTCATGATGAAATTCAAATTCAAATTCAAATGGATTTCATCATAAGCTTTCCTAAATCTTGTGTGCTAATTTGGAAACTCCTCAATGGCTTCCACACTCCTCCCCTCTCTCTACATGCCGCCGGCCTCACCATGAGTGGAGCCCCATTCAAGCCCATTAATTAAGGCATTGATTACAACTTAATTTGAATTCAAATTTCAGATTAATTTCCCTCAAAACCCCTCAAATCCTGAATTTAATTTCAGGATTAGCAATAAATCCCACCTTGGCCGAATTTTTGCTTTCACATCTAGGCTTTAGTTTATTTCCTAATTCTTGAGATGAGAATTAGGAAATAAGAGCTCTCTTCCTCCAAAAGCTGCGGCCAGAAGTCTCAAGCCATTAATTCCTTCCAAAATCCGGTGCAGTTATTTCCCTTTGGACAGATTTCCAAAAGCTGCTGCTGTTGGAAATTAATAATTATTTCCTTTTCTCCCCCACATTGCTCATAGCCGAGATTCCCTCTTGCCTTTGTCTGTTTGATTAATTCCAACAGGAAAGTCCTGTTTGGAAACAAATCAAGCTTATTTTCCCCAACCTCAGGAATCGAATTTTATAAAAGCTCAAAGCCTAGCTGGCCGAATTTCTTCTCTGGCCTGCACCGTTCAAATCCTACCAAAAATCAGCCTCTGTCTTGGGGAATTAAATCCTGTCTCGAATTTCCTTTGCTGGCTGAAAATCTTCAATGCTGTACCGTGGGAATTGCTGATCTGGAAGAGGTATCTCACGTTCACCTCTTGCTGGACAAATGCTTGAATTCCCCTTCCAATTTTCTTTGCTCCTAAGCATAGAAAACTGAAGGTTTTCTCATAATTTTGGGCTCAGATTTTGGTTCCAAAATCTGAAACGTTTTCTGGATTTTGGAACCTCTCCCTAGCAAACCCTTTTTTTTCGTTCTACATAATTGTGTTTCTCTATTATTCTTGCTGAAGTTTTCATTTTATGTTCCAGTTTAACCAAGTCCTTATTAATAGTGTTATTTGCATGTTATTTTGAGTCTGCATCTCATAATTCTTTCACATCAATTTTATGCCTTCACCTCAAGACGAAAAGATTATTTTGAACTGAAAATGAAAACTTCATCTATAATCTATTAAAATATTGGATTTTTTCTTTCCCACTCCAAAGTTTGCAGGGTGGAAATTATTACGGTATTGGGCAATGATCGAACTTAAGACTTTGGCAACAACTTTCGAGGTTCTTATCAACCAGAAACTGACACCCACGTACCAAAATAATGAGTTAATTATACTTGCCTCTTGTAGAAAGTCAATATTATACATACCTCCCATTACACTTGCCTCTCATTTCTGAAGCTCTAAATTAATGTATTGGCATTAATATGTAATGTTATATCTAACAAAATGGGAGGCAAATATAATTTTGGAAAACGGATTGGAATTGATACGTAATATATAAAAAGGCGGGAAAGTGTAATTAAAAAAAAACATGGGATTTATGTGTAATATTGACTATTTACAGATGGTAAGTGTAACTAATCATGTAATATTTTATCTTTATTGAGTTGATGAAGGCATTTTTTTAAAAATGATTTAGTGTTAATCGAAATTCATTGAAAGATTTTTCAAGTTGTTCTTTACCATGGGTGGCCTATTCTATTAAAATCCTAATGAACTATGACGCATTGCTTTGCTAGAGATATGATGGCAACTTATAAGTTTCTTCCTCCCTGTGCAGACTTTCCATCATTTTCATTTACATATGGTTTATTATACTGTTGGATCATAAACAAGGTTCTTTGTCTTTGCAGGTTATCAAGGGAGTTACGGATGCTGAGCTACATGTTTTAGATGCTTTTGAAGATGAGGAATACAAGAGAAGCACAGTGGAGGTCTTTTTGAATGTAAGCATCAAGTCATTCCTGTATATTGAAATGCATTGATTCTTTTTGATGGCTGTGATGAACATCATGGCCTTAATTGAGAAAGAACTCAACAAGTGGTCAGAATGCAATTTGAACATAGCATAGTTCTTGTTTACTAATGGGAATAACGTTCTTTATGCCTATGATGTGTTGTCTATCAGCGCAACCATTTAACATTCAGGCATTGTTATAAATAATGTTGGTGCAACATATGGACCCAACCTGAGGTTCATTAACTAGATGCAAATCTAGGTTGAATCTAGATCAGAGTAGTTCTAGAAATTTATCCCACCCATCAGCCACTTTCAATGAAAGTCGTAAGTCCGACTTTAGAGGAAATTTTTAGGTAAAAACGACCTAACCTCTAACCCCCAATTAACACACCTGGGCTACTTCTAAGTGAAGCAGTAATACCAGCATGTCAGGGGACTTTTAAATGAACGACCATAGATTCAAAATTCCTATGGGCAACATTGTTTATAATAACTAGGTTGTAAGACCCACCATATGACAACTTTTAAATGAAAGTTGTAAGTTCAAATTTAGAGGAAATATTTAGGTAAAAATGACATAACCTCTAACCCCCAATTAACAAATGGGCTATTTCTAAGTGAAGTAGTAAGACCTGCGTGTTAGAGAACTTCTAGATGAATGACCCTATATCCATAACCTAAACCATTGTAGCCTTGTTTATAAGAATTAGGTTGTAAGATCCACTACTCGTGAACTTCGACTTTTGAGAAAAAATATTTAGATAATAACATAACCCTAGACCCCTCACCCGGACATCCTGGTCTATAAGGCTAGGTTGTAAGACCCACAATACGGACTACTTAGCTTACAAGATTAGGTCGTAAGATATGTCATCAGGAAACTTTTACGGAAACCATAATACTTATCCAACAAAAAATCTTTGGGCCACCTCTAATAGAGGTCGTAAGACCCACTATTAGGGCTACCTTCAAATGAAGGACGAAAGCCCCTACCCAAATCCAATTATATTGGTCACTCTTAAATAGAGTTATAAGTCCCAACCCAAATTAAATTAAACTAAAATACACACATGTCCACTTCAGCCTATTCGGGATCCCTGAGAAGAGGCAACTCATGGTTGCTAATTAGATTCCCTGGATACTACAATTAATTGTTGTTAGTGTTGGTAAATTGAATCCACAGTATACCCGGGAAGATGGAATCATGGGATCATGATCGGGTGTACTTATCCTCTATAATTAAATCTAAAACTCTGTTGCACATTCTTACACTCCTTTCACGAAGCTAAGTGTATTTTATCCTTAACCGAGAGTGTTCTTCAAATGCATTAGAAGGGGTAATTAGCTATGTGGGCTTGCGCTTATAGGAAGTAGAACTTAGATCTATATAAATCTTGACACTACTCTCAGGGAAAATTTGATAAAATATTTAACTCAATCTACCTCTGAGAAAATTAAAGGGAACCCTAAGTTCGTAAGAGTGAGGTTCGCACTTGTTAAATGATTTTTCCATAGCGATCACCCATTTTAAAGTGTTATATGGAGGAGACCCCTTACACTTGGTGCATTTTGGGCAGAGGAGCACACCAATCTCTTCAGTAGAGCAGTACTTGAAGGAAAGAGATAAGGTGTTAGAGGAACTGAAGAGTCATTTGTTGAGGACACAACAGATTATGAAGAAGCAGGCATATGAACATAGGAATAACATCAGTTCGAAGTGGAGGACAGTGTATTCTTACAGATAAAGGACAATAGCCAATAGGAGGAACGAGAAGCTGACCCTGAGGTACGTTGGCCTTACTAGATAGTGGAAAAGATTGGAGCAACGGCATATTGCTTGAGATTACCCCCGACTGCCACTATACACCCAGTGTTCTATGTGTCACAATTGATGAGAGCTCTTGGGGAGCATGTAGTTAGTTCAAAGTAATCGACGACACTGACTGAGGATTTGGAGGTGGTGTTGAAACTTTTGGAACTGAAAGGGGTACGACAAGGAGAAGGGGGGATTAAGGAAGTGGTGATTAAATGGAAGGGTCTATCCGACTATGACGCCACCTGGAAGCCATTCAAAAGGGTGAAGCATCAATTCCCTTCTTTTGACCTTGTGAGTTGTTGAAGTAGAGGAGTACAATGGCACTGGTTGAGGATATAATTGTAGAAAATATATTTGAGCGTTTTGTACATATACAATAGGGATGATAAGACTGCAAAAATGGTGAGGATATGGAATAATTTAAACTTTAATTGAAATGGAATCTGTTTATAAGTTGTGTTATAATAGGAGGAATGAGTTGGAAAGAAGGATTCAGAAAGAAATGATCCCAAATATCTAGGAGTGAACTTACTGACGTGTTTGCTTACTTTGAGACTATTAATCTTTTTTTTTGGTGTATTTCCCATAGAATATAATTGTAGAAAATATATTTGAGCGTTTTGTACATATACAATAGGGATGATAAGACTGCAAAAATGGTGAGGATATGGAATAATTTAAACTTTAATTGAAATGGAATCTGTTTATAAGTTGTGTTATAATAGGAGGAATGAGTTGGAAAGAAGGATTCAGAAAGAAATGATCCCAAATATCTAGGAGTGAACCTACTGACGTGCTTGCTTACTTTGAGACTTAATCTTCTTTTTTTTTTTGGGTTTATTTCCCATAGAATATATAACATCCTTTATTTGGCCATTATTTTAAGGAAATCACAAGACTTGGGGTTTATTTTTATTACAGGATGATTCGGGGGAACTTTTTGCAGAGACTTATGTGTGGGCAGACAAAGATGATCCAAAATTATATGGTGAATGGGATTTTGAGGTACATTTATATGCCCTATATGTTTTTCAGATTTTGAATTTCATCACAACAATTTATTTCAGGGTGAAAGTCTTTTCATTCTTTATTATCTTTTTTTTTTTTTATATTATGATCAAACTTTGATCATAATGAATTATAAAATATTTTAACTTACTTTGAGATGAGCATTATTTATGAATTATTAATCTATTTTATATTATATCCAATTTAAAATAAATTTTAAAAATCATTTTGATCAAAGTTTGACCTGATATTCTCTCCAAATTTTTGTCCCAGATTTTCCGTTTGTAACTGCTTCAGCTTTTTTTTATTAAATTATTTCTAGTTGAAAATAATACCTGCTTTGGCTGCCATTTATGAAGGAATGGAAAGAACTGCACTTGAAGGATTTCCTCTCAATGACTGAAGGGTTCGTGAAGGAGTTAGAACAGCTAGAACTGAAAACAAGGGTGGCTACTTATGAAGCCTATTACAAGAAATTATAGAAGGATAGACATACATTCTTCAGTGAATATATCTATTTATTAATGAGATTTAACTGTGATAATTTAATCATTTGACCTCATACTCTTATTGTTAAACACTCAGTTTTTATTGCTCATTATAAGAAACTTTGTCTTCAAGAAAAAACTCATAGGCTCTGTTTGTACAGCAGATTGAAGGAGCTACAGTAGAACTGAAGCACTGAAGCGAGGTAAAAATAGAGGAGGATTCTGAAGGCTGGTAATGATGGTGATATGGTGGAATTGATGGAAAGTAAGTTTATTTATTTTGGGGACAGTTAGGTCAATTAAGATAAACTCATATATACATCATATATGCAAGACTCCAACTCAAGATCTCTTGCTTGATAGTCAAAGCTCCCAATCAAGATACAAGGTTTCGTTTGGGACGGCTTTCTTGATGCTTCGTAAAGCAACTTTATAGTACAAAAATTAAAATTTTTGTACTAAAAAACTGTTTTAAGAAATAGCGAGAAAACTATCTCAAATGAAGCCCAAGTTGAGCTGCGTGAAAGTAAGTTCATAAGTCCAAAGTAGGTAAGAAAGTTTCATCATTATTTTCTTTTTGAAGAAAGGAGCTCACAAAACATCCTAACAAAAAGGATTCGAGTAATCCCAAAGAGGTCTTACGTAACTCACCTTTTAGTCTGTGGGAGTTTTGACTATCAATGAAGAGGTTTTATGTTCGAAGCTTTAAACCCTAAAGCTTACGTATGTATTGTGTGTGTGAGTTTTATTTAATTGACCCAAATGTCTATACAAAATCTTTGAAAAGTCAATTAGGTCTTTTTATTTTAATCAGCTTTAAAAAAAATTAAGAGAAAATGTAAGAAATAAAAATTGTTTAAGAAAATAATTATATCAGGATGAATTTGGAAATTATTGAATTTATTTTAAGATAAATGTAACATAGTATTAATTTTAAAATAAATATGATGATTTTCAAGCTCATTTAGATATAATTTATATTATATCGGACAATTCATTTTTTTAAATGTTTGGCTGTTCAATTCATGACTACTTGCCTAATTAACTTTGTGCGAACTATTTGCCTATTAACTTTGTTCCAAGATAGCTGCTGGTCTCTTGCAGTTAGGGCTGTAAATAAACTATTGAATTTAAAAAAAAAAAAAACTATTGTGTCGAAATATTATACATTTTAATTTCAATTATTTATTTTGCGCGAGCTGATTTTTATTTCAATACACATTTATTTATTAAAATTTTATCAGAATAGGAGTCATAATTGAGTTTAATCATCTATTATTAAGATTTTAATTAATTATTTGAACACAATCTCATTACTTATTGTAAAAATATCTATATTTTTTTATCAAAATAGTTATAGACATCTCTCATTGTTTATAATATTTTATGAAATAATAAAATTATAATTATAATCCATCCAACTTTTAATATTTTCAACATATGATGATATGATTAAAAAAAATCGTTACTAGCATTACAGAAATATCATAAAAAAAAAAAACAAAATAAATCATCAAATAATAAACAATTATATTCACAAATATAAACCAATGAGCTAATAAATATTGATACTTTATTTAAGTATTGAACTTTAAAATTTTGATTTAAGCCTATTAACTAAAAGCACATATAAACAAATCTTGTATAATAAACTCTAAATTGCTTATTTAAAGCAGTAATTTGCTTACAACCAATAGCCCTAATTTACTCTTCTCAGTATTCTTATGTCTTATATAATATACAATTTGAGGGCAACTTTTATACCAATTTTTAAAATTATACTAAAAAGCTACTTTAAAAAACAGTAAAAAAACTTTCCCAAATAAAACGTCAAGAACAAAGACAATTGCAGGCATAAAATGAAAAAAAAAATATATAGGCTTCGCTTGGGTCTACTTTCTTATTGCTTATTTAAAAAAATTTAATATAATATTTTATTTTATTTATTTAAAAATTATTTTAAGAAGCAATAAGAAAACCGTCCCAAACGAAGCTTTAGAAAAGTAAACAATAATTTCATTTGTAAAACTTGTTTATCACAAAAGAGAAGCTATAGACTGTTTTTACAGAGGAAATACAGATTATTTATCATGACAGCTGCTGTCTTGACATATATGATTGTGATGCCATGCTTTGTTATACTTACATGATTAGGATTGATTTGCATACAGATAGTGACAATTAGAGTAGATTGATTGCTGTAATTATTGCTGTTATATACTGTCATCATCAGTGAGCAGGAATCAAAATAGAAATCTGTAAGCTGCTAACTTTTACATAAAATTTAGGCACCAATCACTGCATATAACATACTCTAATTAAGTCTTTATATCTTCAAGTGGAACTCAATCCTTAACAACTTTTGACTAATGACAATAACATATGCACAGCAGGAAAAACTGAAGACTTTCTGCTTGCAGACATCCAAAACAAATCCATCTTAAATAGGAGAATCAATAACATCAATGGGGGCTGAGCTTTCGACCTTAGCTTCTTCAATGTCTATGTGCTCTTGATAAAAAAAGAACAAGCTTTTCTTCCTTCAATTCCTGCTTTACCTTCTTCTAATTTACAAAGGTGAATGAGGTCTGGATTGCCAGCTTCTGGTCATTCTCAAAACTATAATCACAAATAAGGAAAACAGTGAAACAAGCTTATGTAATGGACAAACTTTTGCCCAATTAACTCCATGGGTGTCATTCCAAATGATCATAGGATCCAGTAGAAGGATTCCCTGAATTTTGGTCACACTGACCTCTCCATGCATTTCCACCATCAGAACTACTGCAAGCTTGATGTGGTAGGATGCCATTACCCAGATCACCATCCAAACTCATCTGTTGAACTTCTTGGGGAGAGAGAATCCTGATGTACCTCACACAGTTCACAAACTCCCTGTTCATTGAAAGTTGGAAGACACTATTTTAGGATGGAATTAGTGAAAATTAATAAAAATAAATAAATAACTAAATATGACACCTAAAGAACATAATTCCTTGCTTCACCATGGATTTTTTTGAGCCATGATATGAGACCAACATGAAATTCTATGAAATAATGAAGAGGAGGAATTTCCTATGTCAGGCAAAATGTTAACAATTTTCAAGTGGTAGAACTAAAACCATTACAACAACAACAACAACATCAAGCCTTTGTCCCCCTACGTGGGGTTGGCTACATGAATCCTTTTTTGCCATTGTGTCATGATAAAAGTCAAATTCTCATTTAAATCTAATAAAGAAAGATCATTTCTAATATTTTCTAACCAAGTCTTTTTAGGTCTACCTCTACGTTTCTTAACATAAGTCAAATCTAATACCTCAACTTTCCTAACCGGGTCATAGGAAGGCCCCCATTTAATGTGACCAAACCATCTAAAGCGACTCTCTCTAATCTTATCTTCCACTGGAGCTCGTATTTGCTTATTTCGTATCCTATATCTAAGGGTCATTGGAAGGCCTCAGTATCCACCTGAGCATCCTCATCTCCGCACAAAGAATCCCATGATTTGATAACCACACATTTCTTCCTGCTATACTTTGTTAGACACTGCATTCTAGATGAAAACATAGTAATTGGTTTCATTCTTAAGAAAGCTTTTTTCTTTGTGACTTCAGTGATATGTACTTTAAGCCCCTTCATTAAGGATCTTTCAAATGTTCAATCCCATAGTACCAAACTTTTAAAAAAGAAAGGGAAGTAATGAAAGATTCAAGTTCTTTTTTCTTCACCCTTTATAAGCTGCTTATGCTCTATGATGAACATATTTCCTCATCACAAACATTCTTTAGCATAACCAGACATGCCATTAGAATGTGAAGCAAAAACATAACCAATGCATCCATCTGTGTGTTTATTATGGGGTCGGGCTGCGGTCTAGTAAAAAAAACTTACTCCCAAGGGTCATCTCCCACAAGCAGAACATCATTCTCATGATCAACATAAACTAGCTTCCATCCAATCCTCTGCCGTTCTTCCAACTGTCCTTCAATGCTGAACATTCTTGCTAAATCACGTTTCAGTTCATCATATCCAGAGTATCTGGTTATATCAAGAGATCTACCCACAGCACCACGCTTGTAAACCTGTAATTGACAACAATAGAGAGCAAAAAAAAAAAAAAAACACAAGTTGGGATAAGCCAAAAAACATCAACTCTGACATCGTTTAATCAGTTTGTTTAATCAAATCAACCTAATTTCCTAGGCCATTTTAAAGTTAAACACCCTTAAGTTGAAATAGAAGGGACAACAAACCTTGGTAAAAGTGCGCATTCGTTGGAACTGAGTAGTTGGTCCCCAGGAATTTCTATTCAAGAGACTGCTCTCAGTTAAACTTGAATCGATAGAATTAAAAGCCATATCAGGAACTCCAAAAGACTGAGAAACCATTGATGATGACAACTCCTGTTGTGCATCCTTTGAGGTAGTATAGTTGGTAATTGGATTACCCGTTAATTGGTTTTGGTATTTTCCTGAATCAAGACTATTTGCAAGCAAGGTATCATTAGTTAAAGGTACTCCTAGCGGGACATCTATGTTAACTCCAAAAAGGGTATTATTCCTCAGATCAGTTCCTTGGACATCACTATCTGTTAATGTGCTTCTGAACAATGAAGGTTGATTGAAAGAAGAAAGTGGGAGGGTTTGCTGCAAAGACCCATCGTTTTGTGAAAGGCAAGCTGAAGTTGCTGAAGAAGAGGAATCCAAATAGTCCATCTGAGCAGAGTTGTTCAAATAAACTTGTGGTGCAACTCCCTGACCTTGCAGTTTTGGGATTGGCACAGATGGCTTCACATTTTGTTCTAATTTTGGAATATCTTTAACTAATTTGGTGCTTGCCGCCAGAGCTTCTAAAGAGCAGGGATTTAAAATTGTCACTGGTGATGGAGAAACCTTCTCCGTTGCAACCATGTTGTGGTGAGATATCCTGTTAAAAACAGGCTGAGGAAGTATTGCACTGTTATTTGTGGAAGGTGATGTGGAACAAGAAGGAGCATCATCTGTAAGGACTGTATGAGTTCCTCCAGCGGCCAACAAATTAGCCGTTGAGAGAACATTGGTTGATGGAGCAGGAAGTACACCCATAGGCAGCTCAGCAAGAGGCGTTTGTTGCTGCTGAAGCTTTTGCTGCAGCAGTTGTGAGGATTGTGGCAATCTTACATTCATGGATGCAACTTTACCACATTGCTGAGGGCTACTCTGTGGCTGCTGAGAAGATGGATTTGAATATGCTGGATGCTGTGATGCTTCAAGAAGTGTTATTTGCTGCTCTTGGATTTGTGGTAGTTGGGATTGTTGAAGCAAAGATTGAGACAAAAGTGATTGCTGTTGTAGCTGTTGCTGTTGCTGCTGCTGGAGCTTTTGTAACAACTGCAATTGTAACTGATGTTCAGATAAATGCAACTGATTTGTTTGATTAGATGCCTGAACGGGCATTCGGTTCTGCGGAATCAGTTGCTGCTGTTGCTGATTTTGGTGTTGCAACTGCTGCTGTTGCTGATTTTGGTGTTGCATCTGCTGCTGTTGCTGATTTTGTTGCTGCATCTGCTGCTGATGCAGAAGTAGCTGTTGATGCTGCTGGGAATGATTATTTACAAGGTTGGCCTGCATCACATGTTGATTCTGCATCAGTGACTGTTGTTGGGGGATTTGATTTTGTACCATAATTTGGGATTGAGTGAGATTATTCTGCAACAATGAAGGTTGCTGCTGTTGTGGAGTCTGGGTCTGGCTGAGGGAGACTGTTTGATTGATAAATTGCTGCCTCTGCTGCATAGAAATATCTTGCATCGGTTGCTGAGCCTGAGAAACAGAACTCAATTGATTCAGTGGGGATTGTATCTTTGGAAGTGTGTCAACCTGTTGGGCTTGTTGAGGTAGCCTGGGAGAATTGAACTGCATATTATTCTGCTGCAAAAGCTGAGCTTGCAAACCCAACTGCCTTGAAATGTCAGCAGCACCAAGATTCTGAATAATAGGATTAGTCAGAGAGCGCAAATAATCAGACTGAATAGCTGAGTTGCCCAACAATGGATTCTGTTGCATGCTCATCCACTGAGCTAAGCTCAAACCAGGCATTACTGTATTTTGAGACTGAGCATCCTTTATACAAATCTCCTCACCAAGCCAGGGCATTGCCCTTTTAAATAGAGTCTCCATCTCCGATGACTCATCATCTGCAACATCAGCTGGGTAACTTCAGAAATACCCAAATAGAAGCACAAAATCCATGCTGAGTAAGAAATGCAAAAAGATCTTTATAACAGAACATGGCAAGTTGTGGTTTTCAGTAAGCCCAATTTGGCATCTTTAAGATGATAGAAGCTTTTGCACGGGAAAGTAAGCCTAACAACTACCAGTCTTTTTATTATTGTTTTTAATATTCTATACGAATTTTAGTCCAAATCATGGGATGATTTTTTTTACCATATAAATTTCAATTTGCAAGAAAATAATAAGGTGGGAACTCAAAAAAGAAAAACCTAGAGTTTTTCATTTGAAAAGCTACAAGTAAACAAGAGTTATGGACCTGGCATTCCTGGTTGTCTTGGACGCTTTGTCCTGAAAAACGGTGGGGGGCATATGAAGAAAGGGGCTGCCACAGGTTCAATCTCCCATATAGACACCCTGTTGCGCCTTTCCCCTGGTGCAGATTCATCCCATCCTACCTGGTTAGCAATTCAAAAACACATAATGAATCCTCACTTACTTTAAGAGAACTTAGAATAGAAACCAGGAGAATGCTAGAGAAATATTTAGAAAAGGTAAATTACATCCAGACCCATCAAAACTTTTGGTAGACAACAATGAGCCTCACTATTCTCCAAATTTTAGAATTCCTAAGGCTTCATTTTGAACAACTTTCTCACTGCTTTGCTTTTCAGACTGCAATCATAATTTTTGTTTGTCCACTGCTTTTTCGCTACTTTTTTTATACTAGGAAGCTCCTTTTCACAACTACTTTAAAAATTATTTTATCTACAAAGCTTTACCAAGCAGTAAGAAAATCATTCCAAACGAAACCTAAGTTTTAAAAACTTTGTATATCCTTAACATTAAAGATATACATAAAACATTATTAGAACTTGCACGATGTATTTTTTCATGGACCAAACTTGAGGGGCCATGATGTAACCTACTCCATAAAATTAGATTTCAAGTTAAAAACCTGCAAGTTGCGCCACTGCGAGTTTTTCCACCTTAAAGGATCAAGATCGCTGATACCTGTAATTGTACCCATGTACCTACAAAGCAGGAAAAAGAAAAACAGCTATTCAATTTCCACTTTTATAGAATGAAAAGACTAGCCAGCACATATGAATACAAGGATGCTTTACTTTCAAATACTACCCTGAAAGAACAGCAGCTTGACTCAACACATAAAAGTACCATGAACACAAGAGCTTATTATACTAGATGGAGACCAACTCAAGTGATCAAAAGCTTTAATCCTACCTTCATGCCTAATTCAGATCAGATAGACTGGCCAGCACATATTGAACACAGGAGCATTTAAGATAATTGAAAACAGCCATGCCTTACCTTCTTGTTCCAGATTCTTCAGTTTCAAACATCATTCGAAAACGCATCCCGAGAGAGAGCTGATGACCATAAACTGCTTTGTTGTACTTGGCTAAAGGAATAACAAATTCTGATGGACTAGCCCTGTTAAAACACAGCAGTACAGTAATACTCAAGCGGCAGGCACAATGTTAAACCTGTATGATTTATATTATCATGATCATTGAAATGAACCTAATGCTGCAAGATTTGTCCTGATCTATCAAAGTAAGACAATAAAGAAATATGATTAACAAAGAAGAAACAACAAACCTGGGATTATAAAATATGGTAAAAGGGCTGCTGTTTGCTGCTGCATGAGCTGCAGCTGCGAGAATCCCGATGTGCATGCTATCACTCGATAAAACCGAAGAAGATATATTAGTAGGTTGTCTGTTAGCTCTTCTGATTCCCAAAAGAAGTTGTTGTTTCTCATCCCTGTAATGTATGAATGAAACAGTTAGCATATTCATACGGTACTCTCACACGAGAGATTATTGTGTGTGGACACCAGACAAAGAGAACCGTCCGATTTTCTCTCTGTCGACAATAAAAGCACAGTTACAGTAGCAGACTGCGCTTTGACTGTAGACAGAGAGAAAATTGGACGGTTCTCTCGGTCCGGTGCCCGCACACAATAAAAAGTCACTTTCACACATGTACTAGAAAAAAAGTTGCCCCAAAGACCATCAGTTAGAGAGATGAAACATGTTTGTTGTTAAAAAAATAAATAAATTCTTTTTAAGATTCCAAACACCATAGTGCTCATTGCTAAATTACAATGGCCAAAACGAGTGGGATGCACATCCTGTAATAGACAGACCTAAAAACAAAATGTTCCATCAGAATTCTGTTTACCTTAAACATACCTAATAAATAAGACTGAATCGCCAGCTAGGAGCCTCTTCCCACTTACAAATAGGCTCCAACCAGTTGTTAGCAAGTGCCTTTTTGGTTGACCTAAGATCACAAAATGAAATTTTTTAATACATTACACAAAGTAAATGAACAAACAGTTAACAAAGTTGCAATATAGTTGATTTGAAGCATTTTCAAGATAGTGCATGCAGGTTATAATCATATCTTCACATGAAGGGGAAACCTGAAAGCAGTAGTTGGAATTAGATATGTTTCAGCTTCAGCAAGGATTGCATATAATGCCAGTCCCAAGTCATATTTTAGAATAGGACATTCAGGATCAAGTATTAGGGAGAGTGAACAAAAAAGAGGCCAAATTTCGGTTAGACGCACCAACGGCTAAATTGTCATCAACCAAAAAAATTTATATATGAGTAAGGGCCAACCAATTAATATTCTATTCAATGTGGGACTCTCAACCCAATGCTTCAATGAGCCTTAACAATCTCCCTATTACTTGAGATCTCTCAACATGAAAGCTCTTAACATTATCAAATATCATGTAACAAGAGCCCACTCAACCACATGGAGCCACCATGCACGCCCGCCCCACTTTAACTTAGCTCGATCATGGTAGAAGCTAACCAAGGCCTATTAAGCCATAAATTATATGAAACATTAAATCTCGACCAAACTATAGGCTCTAATACCACTTGATAGGGAGTCCAAACTAAAGTTGAAGCCAAAGTTGGGCCAATATACCAGTGGTCAAACATGCATACAATCTAAAAGCTTAGCTAAAACAAACCACAACAAGCTTCTTCATATTAAAGAATGGTCATCAATTAAGAAAGCATATACTACATACTGCGAACACAGGTAGATCACTTTAGTAGGTTAGGATGTCAGTGTTTAGCCGAATTACCTCGATAGATATGTCTGAAGGTCCAAATACTGTCATGCAAGTCTCTTGCCTGCAGTTCTTGAGCTGGTGGCTGCATTGAGAAGTCCTGCATGTAGTTCTAAAGGAATAAAAGAAATGGCGTTGCCCGCAAAAGAAGACATTCTTTGGCTAAGAGAAAATACTTACAAGAGGAGGAAATATCTTCTCTGCAGCGCGACGGGGCACTGAAAACCCTCCATGTGTGCTGGTATCACTAGCGGTTAGTGTTTTACAGAAAAATTCTGTTTGTGGTTTGCTTGTTTTCAATGCAAGATCTGTTGTCAGCAGTGTTTTCTCATCGTACTATTAAAAAAAATAATAAACTCTTAGTCAGTATCATCTGAAGGAGGCTAACATTTTGAAAAAGCAACAGTTGCAAGAAAGTTAAAAAATGTACTATGAATGTCCTTTCAAATTCGGTTGCTAATGTTAGAAATCATCAAAGGCTAAATCTTTGCTTCATTAAATTTGGTGCTAGTACAAATATGCCTATATAAAGGCAAAAGAAAATAATAATAAGGAAAATATAATAAAGTAAAATATCGAGGACATATTGCAATAATAAACATCATAAACTTCTATAATAACTATTAGCCATATATGATAATATTGATAATGTAATGTTTTAAGAATAATAACTTTAATATTTCTTAAAGTCAATACATTCTTTAAGGTTTTGATATATCTCATAAGGTGGGAGCTTATCAAATAAAATGAAAAATAATAATGTATGCTAACAGCCTCCATAAAATCTATAGTTTTGGCTAAATGATCTTTAAGAATTTCTTAACCTCTATCAATAGAATTGGACACTTGAAAAAGGTGTCCTCAAATTGCTAAATTGGACTGTTAAGCTAAATTAGCTTGCTATATGCACCCACCAGAAAGTCAAGACAAACTATTGAGAATCAAATACTGGGTAACTCTCACAATCCTCCCAAGAACACCTAAAATATTGAATTGATCATGAAGAATGAAACATCGCAGATGCATATGCGGGCAAGGCAAGAGCAAATGGGCCTAATTAGTTGGCGAAAAGCCTCGGTTTCATTCTCAGAAACGTGAATCATAAGAGAATCAAATAACTAATTTAAGAATGGGATGCAATAAGCTACACATATTTTTTAGTACTTACTGAATTGACTGGCTGAAGGGTCATTTGTGCATAAACTTCATCTGTTTCTGTATCCGCCTACAGAATTGAGAGCACATATGATCAATAAAAAAAGGTAATTCACAGCATTGTTTCCCCAAAAGCTTTTTTTTTTTATACTTGACGAAATAAGAGAATTTAAACATACATGTAGAGTAACATTGTGAAGAAGGCAAATAAGTTTGGAGGGCAGGTTTGGATAATTTGGAAAATGAGCATCAATATCTTTTTGCATAGATGCTGCTACCTGCCAAACATAGAACCCACATCACTTTAATAAAAAATGCTGGCAATATACTGCACAAATACCATCCACATTCACAAATTGGTTATTGAACATGAACATATAACCAATATGCAATGTTAATTCATCAACCAACAAACAGATAAAAAGATGAATTATTATCTAGAAGTTTCGTAGCAATATGTTGGGGATCAAGTCATTAATAAGAGTACACATTTAGATATCTTGGATCTATTGTTTAGAGTGATGGTGAAATAGAGGGGGATATTATCAGCATAATTCAAATTGGATGGTTGAAGTAGAGGAATTCATCGGGCCTATTGTGTGATAGAAAAGCCCCCCTCAAACTTTAGAGAAAATTCTATAAGATGGTGGTGAGACCTGCAATGCTTTATGATGTCGAATGTTGGCCATTAAAAGAGAAGCACAATACTAAGTTAAGTGTTGCAGAGATGAGGATGATCATGTGGATGAGTGGCTTTACCCTTAGACATAGGATACAAAATGAGCATATACGTGAAAAGGTTGGAGTAGCGCAAGTGGAAGATAAGATTAGAGAGAGTCGCCTTAGATGGCTTGGTCACATAAAATGAAGGCCTTCTGATGACCTGGTTAGGAAAGTAGATGTATTAGATTTAACTTATATTAAGAAAGGTAGAGGTAGACCTAAAAAGACTTGGTTAGAAAGTATCAGAAATGATATTTCTTTATTATATTTAAACAAGAATTTGACTTTTCACATGACATAATGGAGAAAAAGGATTCATGTAGCCGACCCCTCATAGTGGGACAAAGGCTTGATATTAATGTTGTTGTTGTAGTTGTTCGTAGCAATATGTGCATAAATACACAAAAGTAGTTGCCCGGTGAACTTCAAATAGATGTTAAGCGAATGTGAGATTCTTAGATCTTTAATGCCAGCTGTGTTGCAAGTTTGTTAATGCTTCATAAAAAGCTACTGTACTGTAAAGTTCACATTAGTAAAGTTGGTACTAGCTGCTCCAGAGTCCAGTTCAAATGGCCCATAAAAAAGGTCCCATGAAACTTTTCATGGGAAATCAACTTGAAAGAGCCAACTAGGAGTGAAACTACTCCAAGACATTCGTACAAAATTTTCTCAAGAAAAGAAAATTTAAAGATCTGAATCCAACAAAATAATGAGATTAAGTTTATCTAGTTACCAGTAAAGACTCATAAAGATGAAAATCAAAGGCACTCACTATTTTTGGTCATAAAAAACTCCTTCCTTTAGATGAAGGTGCAAGCAAAAACTCCACTTTCATAAGCCTACTAAGTTAGGCTTCTATGAGTCTATATCCTCAATTCAAAGCATTTTCACGATTTCAAGGTACGTCTTAGAAGTTTTTTGAGCTTCTATCGCAATTTTTCTTAAGCTGCTTAGGGGAACAGTTCAAGAGAAACTCAAGAAGAAGAGAAATTTAAGAAATTCTGGGATAAATCACATGGCTAAACTTCAAATGATTATTTCCTAACATTTCAACTCAAGAACCTCTTGATCTGCACAAGACCAAAAGTGATAGCCAAGAGTTACGATTAGATTGTCATAAAATCCTCATCACCATTGTGAAATCTCTGGTTCAAAGAGGAAGGAAAAAAAAAACTCCTTAGAATGGCATCTAGCAGTAGTCTTTTCTCAGATGAAAGCCACTAGAGCTGTCATCGACTAGCAAGCTTTACAGATTCCCAATGGGTAAGGTCTAAACCTAAATAAACAGTAAAGCAAAATTGAAACTTCTCTGTAAGATAATATTGTTAATGAAATAAGCAGAGGCATATAGAGAAAAGAAAATCGGCAGAAACTGTGAAAAAAGAGAAATAATTCCAAAGAATTCACAATAAGAAGCAGTAAGCAGAAATAAGAGAAAGAAACAGTGTAGTAAATCCCCATTTAGCCATACAAAACCAAGGAAAGCTTAAACTTTATTCCTTCAAATCCATTTACAGAAAATTTTACCTGCATGCAGCAGATCCTCAGAGCCCCAAAAAATTATAATTTTCGTTAGAAACAATGAAAGCTTCAATCATAGAAAAGAAAAACTTGTTCAAAATCCATAAAGGGAAAATAAAAGCCTTAAAAACAACAACGCCCGGCAGTTCAATCCACAAATTACGCCATAGAACTAAACGGAGCAAACACCCAAATCAGGTGACCTTCCCTCTCACCTGCTCGCTGTGCCCCTGCGGGAAGTAAGCCACGAGACTCCCCACCGGCGGAAGCGTCACCAGCGGCCCCGCACAGGCGTGCCACAACTCCGGGTTTATCGTCTTCCTCTCCCCACCTGCATCCCAACACCAAAACGTTTCATCCCCTCACCACTTCCCACCACCATCAAAATCAATCAAACCAAATCCAGCATAGAATAGAAAACGCTCGCACTCCTCACTTACCATCGCCACCAGGATTCGCCGCCGCCGTTGCTGTGGCCGCCGCGGCCGCCGCAGCCGTCGCAGGGGATTTCATCATCACCGCTATTGCAAGCACCGCCGCATCTTAGACCAGAGGATCGGAGCCGCCACCGTTATTACCCCAAAAATAGAACCTTTACAGCTTCAGCTCCAGCTCCAGCTCCAGCTCCCACTGGATAGGTGGCGGCGGATGGGGTTCAGTGAGCTTGAAGCCGATAAGGGTAAGGGGGCAGTCAGCTAGTGTCCGGCGAACCACTGGCTCTTTGCCCGGTGAGAACGAGAGCAGCGAAGGGCGTGGAAGAGTAGACAGCCATGGAAGTAGGAGAGAAGAAAGTATTTATTTATATATAAAAAATGATAAATTTTTTAAGAAGCTGAGAAATGAAGCGTGCTCGTGTGGAACAGTGCTCCGTCTTTTGGACCAAGGTGGATTAGGCAGACAGACCTTTTGCTTTTTTAAGCCGATTTTTTTTTTCAAAACTACCTAAAAATATATATATTTATTTAATTTTTTTAGAGAGTTTCTAAGGCTTTGAAAATTGATTATTTATGAATAAAATATATTTTTAAAATTTGAATATGAAATTATTAAATTTTGAGAGCATTTGAAATTGTTGGTTGAGTTCAAGTAGGTAAATTTGTAATTAAGGTGATTCAATTATAGTTTATTGCTAATAGTTCAAAGGTTAAGAAATGAGTAATAATGATGATACAAATTAAATAGCGCACTGTGTCAAAAAGGTTGATGGATTGGGTTTGAGTTCGATCAGAATTGAACTTAATCCAAATCCAATTAACTTGAATTTGACTTGAGCCTGGACTATTAACCTACTTTGATTACAAAGAACTTTTTATGATTTATTACCTATACATTTTATGATATTTAATAAAAATAGTAATAAAATTATACTAACAAGTAAAAAATTTAAGGAAAAAATATTAAATATGTTAATTTCGACTCAAAAGCGGGTTTGATGGTCAACCCAAACTGGAATCATTTAATGAATGAATTGTAAAAAATCAATATGAACTCGACTCATTTATTAAATGGGTAAATCTAAATCTGATATTTTTTTTTATCGGATTGATGGGTCGGATCATTTATTGACAACTCTACTGTGATGCATATATTTTGTTATTAATTATGCATAGATTTGATGTTAAGATTTTAAGTAAGGTATTACTCTATTTTGATCTCTCTCACGTAAATTTATTTTGTTTCCTTTATGGACAAGTTTTCTCCCACCACGAGAGAACTGGAGCATGCATAAGAGTATCTTGCTTTGGTCACTGTCGTTTGTATTTAAACTCGTGTCAAATAGTTTTTTTCCCAGTGAGAGTGAATTGGAGCCTGGGTAAGAGTACCAGGTCTTGATCGCCACTACGATATTTAAATTCTAACTATTACATATAAAGTAATAATGTCAAATACATAATAATGACAAATAAATAAATGTATATTGATTACTACATATTCATTCATAATTAATTATATATTTCTTTATCTCGTAAAGTCCGATTTGGACATTTTTAGGGTCACTATAATCATTTTTCGATGTTTCGAGCTGAAATTTGACACTTTTGAAACTTAAAAGAGTATGAATGATAAGTTTTAAGCTATTTGAAAAATTTTAGAGTAAATATTTTTTATATTTTATTTTGCTTCGATTAACACTCTGACTTCGGAGAATGCTAAATCATAGATATATTTTTGGACTCTACGAGATTCAACGTCCAAAAATATGGGGCAACTGATACGTTACAATAAAATCATCTTGATCGTGCACGAATCTCGAGGCGTATTCAAGTTGGAAACTTTAAAAATTAATGTTGGGACCATCTAAATTCAAGTTTAAGCAAACTTATAGTCCAACTGAACGCCTTGAAGAGATGAACCCAACAACACCAAAATCAGTCCAATCCGAGCCTAAATGGGTCCAATTCAAGAGTCTAAAGCATATTTGGAAGGTTCAATGTATTATTTGGATGATAAAATGATATCCAAAAATGGCATGCTTCTAGTCAAATCGAGCGACTCGGCGAAACAAATCCAACGAGTCCAAAATCTTTGAATTTTGACATTGTTAAGGCACTTAAATAGTTAAAAAATGTTTTATGATAAGGGGAATCAATACAGGTCATTCGATGGAGCACTCCGAACCTGCCCCGAATTTTCTCTATATTTAAAAAGTGTGTCATTTATGAAAATCTATAAATAAACTCTCACTCTTTACATGTGAACCTTTGGATGGATATTGGAGAGAGCTTTAAGGCTTTAAAAGCTTTGGCATCACTACCGGCAAACCCCCATCGATTGTCACTGGACCATCACCTGATTGTCAATCACCGTCGGACTTTCGTCTGATCATTATCGAACCATCACTAGGCCGCCAATAGCCAACGAACTTTGACCCGACAGTCGACCATTATCGGAGTTCCGCCCCACCATCCTCAGATCACCGCGTGACAACCGCCCACCGCCAGACTTCCACCTTGCCGCCCACCGCCACATGACTTCTGCCCGACCATCGTCGGACCACCTCCTTATGCACCGAACATCGTTAGACTTCCACTCAGTTGCCAACCATCGTTGGACTTCTACCTGACCATCGTCAGACCACCGCCTGGCCACCGATCATAGCCGCATTTTCAACCGGCCATCGAATGTCGTCAAACTTAGGCCCGACCAACATTGTACTTCAACCCAATTGCTGACCATTGCTGGATTTTCGCTCGACGATCCCTCAAAACACTATCGCCCGCCAACTACGGTCCTCCTCTGATCTCTATTGCGTGCCAATTACGGTCAATTCAATAATCGTCGCCCACCGACTACGATCCCCCTATCATTTGTCGACTACATTACCTCAAACCATAGTCATATGTCGAATATTATTCCTTCGACCACCTTGCCGGTTGACTACGGTCCCTCTAACCACCATCACCCGTCGACTACGGTTCCTTTGACCACTGTTGCCTGCTGACTACGATCCTTCCAACCAATGTCTCTCGTCGATTACAATCCCTTCGATGGCTATCGTCGTTGACTACGATCCCATTCGACCACTGCTGCCCGTTGACTACAGTCCCTCCGACCACCGTCGTATGCTGACTACAGTCCCTCTAACCTTCATCGTCCACTGAATATGCTCCCTCTAGCCACTATCACTCGTCGACTATGGTCACTCCGACCACCGTCGCTTGTTGACTATGATTCCTCTGACCACCTTCACCCATTGAATCCACTCGCCTATTGACTACGCTCCCTTCAACCATCGTCGCCCGCTGACTATGGTCCCTCCGACCACCGTAGCCCTCCCGACTATAGTGCTTTTGATCTCCATAACCCAAACACAGTCCTACCAACTAAATGAACAGACCAATAGCTCCCTTATCATTGGATTCTTCCAACCTAGCTATGTAATGTGCTCTATATTATACATTGAGCCAATGCCTCCTCCCCGGAAGGGCACCATTTGTAATAAACTAAAAACACTACTGAAATCATTTTAATTGAGCCAGACCCCATAGTTTTCTCCCTCTTAGGTTTTTCCATGTAAAAATATTGTTGTCTCTTATGACTCACACACATTTCTCTCTTTATCTGTATGTGTGTTGTATCTTTGTTCAAAGCTAAGATATTATGCTCTTTATCTCTCTACCGTCATGAATGTTTCAATTCACAACAATATTCAAGATGGTGGTTTACGATCTTTAGGGTTCTCTCTTGTGGTGGCTAATAGTGATAGTTATTATTAAAAATATATAAAATATTTTAATAACTATTTTGAATGCTTTTAAAAATAATTTAATTTATTCAAAAAAAATTAAAAATATATAAATATACATGAAATAAATATGCCTTTGAAATAAAATAAAATAATAAAAATGAATCCAAACAAGTTCTATGTTAATTAAAAGTTGTTGGCGTTTTATTGTAATAATTAGATTAGGATTAGTTAAATAATTAATTATAATGTTTTGTGGTTTATATAATAAATGTTAGTAGAAATTAATTAATTTGAAGTTTAACAAAGATCTGCATGTTTTTACACTTTTTTTGCTTATAATAAATAAGTATAAGATAATAAACTACTTTTTTTTCTCTCTTTTTTTTTTAAATAAGATAACAAACTACTTGATTGATTAACTGAATATTAATTACAAATTTAGACTAATTAGGATTTGGTAAGATTTTATTAGTATTAAATTAATATTTAAAAATAACATATTTTTAAAAATAAAATAATAATAATAATAATAGAAAATAATTAATAAGTCATTTAAGCTAACAAATTTTGATTAAGATTTCATTTAAATTTTATTAATATTAGCTATATACATTAAACTTGAATTGGTTATAAAATAAATAGACTTAATCATGATATTTACAAATATATTAATTATATTTATTCTTTTTAATGTCAATATATTTTCATCAAAAGATTTTTTTATATTAAGTTTATTAAATAAATAAATAACAAGCAAAAATAACATTTATATACAAACATAACTTTTTATTGCACCCATCGTTGTTTAGTTTGGTTGGTGGGCGAGTACGGTTGGGAACTTCTTAACCCATGCTTGATTTCCCTCGAGTGGTAGCGCTTCTCAAGTGGGGCCCAATCAAGTGCGGGCCATGAGGTTTCTAGGGCGGGCGCCTCTTCTAGGTCAGCTAAGGATTAGTCACGCCGTCAAATGCTCTTCCGAGGGTTGCAACAAATGGATATCAGTTCTTAAAAAAAAGTTTATCTTGCAATTTAAAACCACCAATAAAATGCAATATATTCTTATGTTTGATATGACCAAATTAGTTTTAAATGCTACAAAAGTAAGTCATAATATATTTTATAATATAAATTAAAATGAATTATCTCAATTTATTGATTGGATATTAAGACTAAAAAATCAATTGAAATTTATTAATTGGATATTAATATTATGTGACTAACTTGGTCCTTTTTGCGTTTTGCCCCCTCACTTCTATGGAAAGTACATGGCGCTGGTACAATCGTAATTTAGGGTCAAAGCGGTGGGTAGAGACGCCAAATAGAAATATCGGAATGAGGCGTCACGGATGCCACGTGATGCTCGTACGGGTTCGACGGCGGGTATAGCGGAAAGCGACCCACGCCCGCATAGAATGATTAGTCTTTAAATTATAATTAAGATTATAAATTAGATTAATTAAATAAGCCTAATTATATTACGCCGACGTGGCGTTATTGTCGGCGGAGGCGGGCCCACACCTCCCATGTGACGGTGATTCCATGCGTAAATAAATAATTAAGAAGAGGAGTAGTGTTAGTATAGTAATAATAATAAAAAATACGTTAATGTTTATTTTATAGAATTTTTTTAGAGATGTTAGTGCGGGGAGCTCGGGTTTTACGGATGTGGGCCCATTGTTTGACTTTTTGA